TCCCATCTAAGTAGCCACATTCTCACATTTTAAAGCATTTAGTGACATCAATAGTTTTACCTGTGATGCTTCTGTGTAAATATATCTGTGTATGTAAACATTGATCAACAACAGTAAAACTACCTATACATGAAGTAAATAACATTGATTATGCTGTGATACAATGCAATATTTTGCTGGAAAATGTTGGGTCCTGGCATAAATTTGGATATAACTTTCACACGTCCCAAACAATGTGCCCAACCACACTTCAAAAACTGCTCAGGAACAACTTGAGGAACACAACAAAGAGCCCAAGACGTTAACTTGGCCTCCAAACTCAACAGATACTATCCAGTGGCCCCTCGGTGTAGCTTAAACATAGATGTAAGGCAGCCAAAACATGTTGAATTGCAGTTTCTATTAAATACAAAACCCTGTGGCGAGCTCAGAGAGGTCCCATAACCAAGTCTGAATTGATTTATTTTTTATTTTTTTAATTACGGCTTCTGCACGGGCAGTTTATTGCCAGAGGACAGACTGGAACAATAACTGTGCTCCACCTCTGGAGGGAAAAATGAAAAATAGTAACTTCATGATAATTTAACTATACTACAGATTGCAAAAAGTAACAACAAAGTGCGCACAGAAGCTGCCTGTATGACACAGTGGCAGCGGATGACAGACTCAGATAGGTCAGGCTGTATTCTCTGTCCTGCCTCGGGGTGAACTGTCATGGCTCGCTCTTATGCGGCCATTGTGACAGTTATCATCTGTGCCTCGGAGAATGAAAGAGACAGCAGTGGAGGGGGACAAGTCATGCTGGGCCACTGCTGGTTATATAGGCCATTATATCTGCCAGAGAGAACGTGTGGACTGACAACCCTCTCCTTAAAAATAGCCCCAGGCCTAATTGACACTCTTGGGTTTCCATGTGTTGCTCGAGGGGCTTGATGATTATTAGACTGTTCATTGAATGGAACAGTGCCTTCATCTTGCCAAATGTGGCCATCTGATCCACTGTCAAACGTATGACTTTCTCTTATATTTTGCATGTCTTTGACTTTCTCAGATATCCCTGGGTAGTGGACTCGGCGGGGGGGGCTGCAGTGACATGAATGGCACCATTGTTTTGAACACAGCAGCCTCTTTATGTTGAAAATTAGCCAGGAATTAAAAGAGTGGGATTCATGTGGGACTTCAGTTCCTGCTGCCAAAACACCTCTCTTTTTGGTTTTAGCACTGATACAATAATTAGCTTTTGATGTCAGGTTATTTTATGAAGCAATAGCTTATATATAGAAGCATTAAAAAAAAGCACTCACTGAGCTCATGTCTCATCATGTCTATGTCAATCACAGCTATGCAATACCCTGCACAATGTCAGATACATTCTCCAATAAATTTTCTTAACATCTTAAAGGCAGAGGTCAAAAAGATGTCTGCACTGATGTCTGGCCTCCCAGCGAACATACCACGACTCTCCCTGCACTCTGTATCTCTGCTTCATTGCAAGGGCAGCACATGCTGATATGATGTGTCTGCTTTACAATGCTGGACTGTTTCGCTCTCTCTGGTCCTTGGCTTCGCACCCCACAGGAAATGGCTCCATTGTCCTTGGGAGAGGAAGTGGCCTGGAGCAGACCACTAGTTCACTGGGCTGATGGAGACTGTAGTAAATTATTAATCATCTCTGACAAATGGAAGACACACTCACACTGCATGCTGTCCACTCAGGAATGCTGTGGAACAAAGGACAGTAGAGCTGCAGCCGACCACCTGTAAGAGGAGCGAGATACTCTGGTAATCTGAGTAGAAAAACTTAGCGGTAGAAACATTTAGAAAAGTTCACAAGTGGGGCAAGTGAAAAAAAAAGAAAGAAGGAAAGGTCTTTAAAAAAAAAAATGTATTCACTTCCCAAACTTGCAAAGGAGATGAGCTTGCTCGTTAATTTTGAAACAGCGCCTAAGACTTCTTTCCTCATTTTTTAAACAGAATTTAACAGCTTTAACAGAATCGGAATCAGCAGAAACAGTAAACACATACAAGGAATGTGATGCTGGCATTGTCTTTGCTCTCATGCAAAAGAAAACACACATGCATTTATACAAAGACAACATGATACAGAAGGAAATGAGCATCCAACTGCTATTTCACATTTCAACAATTTCCCTGAGGTTTGCACCAAAGGGATCAATAAAGTTCTATTCTATTCTATTCTATTCTATTTTATTCTATTCTATTCTATTCTATTCTATTCTATTCTATTCTATTCTATTTTATTCTATTCTTTTCAATTCTATTCTATTTAAAACCACTGATACATGAACCAAAGTTTAGTCCAAACAGTCATGAACAAGAATATCAGTTACTGACACCTTCCATACATGAGGTAGGTGGACGATAAGCAACATTTCTATGCTGAAATATAAACAGGTCTTTGATATATTGACAGTATATACAGTGTATACATTTATTCAGTGATCAGAAATAGTTGTTTCTGACTGATTCAAATGTTCAGAAGAGTGATGAACTGTGAGAAAGAACTGTTTCTGTGTCCGTTTGTTTTGCCGTTTTATCTGTATCACATTACTGTCTTGGTGTTTGCCCTGTCACGAAAGTTAATACTTTCCCTTTTTTTCGGAGTGTTTTTAGGATGTCTTGTCTATGTTGACTAAAAAATTGAGCAGACAAAACAATCCCCACTAGAGGGTTGCTTACTTTGTGGCTCCCATTATATATCTATAGTGGGTGTAAAAGAAAGTAAAACGTTAACAAGTAACTGAGCAGGAGCTCTTTGAATGAGACTAAAATCTTTGTGTTGATTCTAGGTTTTACCACTAGAGGTTGACAGAGACTCACATAATCGGCAAACAGCTCTGCAAAGCCTGAAGCATCTGTTCTGTGATCAGATCAATAGTGCACTGGCCTGCTGAGTTAAAATAGCTCAGCATCTGCTCTGGTCACATGTGGGAATCCTTGCTGGTTCAGTAACATCCAGATAAAGTAAGAGAGGCAGGTAAAATTAGCATCTACTACAGATGTTATTTAAATGGCACACAAAACAAACACAGAGATGTCGGACTTGCAGAAGCTGCTGTTTCTTGAGAATTAAAACGGCTGTGATTGTTTTTTTTGTGATCAAATTTTTATTTTATTTTAGATAGGAAAAATAAAGTCAGGCATATGTACATTACAATAATAAAACAGTATATGGGAATTTACATACCTGTATAGAACTTGAGATATACAGTTAGAATAACACAAGTAATAACCTTAAAACAGAACAGAACAAAACAAAAAGAAAAAAAAAGAAGAAGAGAGAGAGAGAGAAAAAAACCCCCCAAAAAACAAAAAAGAACATTCCCTGGATCCAGAACTACAAGCCTCAGTCATACCTTACACTTGAAGCCCACGGAGGCTAATTAGAAGAGAGTGTCAAGTCTTTATAGCAGAGTCTTTAGCTCCGTGAATTCTGACTGTTGACAACTCCAAATAAACAATGTCCAAATACGTCAGAACCCATGCTCGGAAAGAGAGTAAGTGTGGCAGTTTCCATCGTGTGGCGACTAGTTTTTTCCCAGCTATAAGTCCAGCTAGCAATGCTCTTGTCTTGTCCAGGGTTGAGCCAAATTTTGGCAGATCATTCAAAATGAGTGTAGCAGGTAAACAAGGCAGTTTGCTCTTGAACAGCTTAGAGAGGTTGAGGGCAACCATCTTCCAAAACTTGGCCACTGGAGGACACTCCCTTCCCTAACCTTCACCAAATGAAGCTTCCTAGGAGTTGTGTATATCCTATGTATATAGTTGTAATGTATTTGCTGATGATCAGGATTTCTGGACGCTAATCCCACATTAAACCATACTTTATCCCACTCAAGTGTGAGATTCAGATCTGGAATGTCTTCTCTCCACAACGTGTCTAATGCCGGGGGTCTGTAAGAATGCTGCAACAAGAATGCGTACAGTCTTGAAACAAAGCCACTTCTGCTTCTGGTAGAGTGGAATAGTTTATGAAGAGGGTGTGGTGTGAGAGGGCTCTGTAACGGGGCGCCACTGCCCATCAAGACAACCTCAACTATAAATTAAAAAAAAAAAAAGAGGCACGTGGAGCAACAAACTTAGCACACATGTCCTGAAAAGCAAGTAGCCCCCCTTCCCCATAAATATCACCAAGTATGTAAATATTATTTCTTTCCTAATCAGGAAAATGAATGGGTTGATTGCCAATCAACAAATTGTCATTTTTAAATATTGGAAAATGTGGGCCCCTCACAGCAGAACAACCAGCCAGTTTCTCAGGCTTCCTCCATATAGAAAGCAAATATGACATAATCGGACCAAATCTCAGAGGGCATTGATGGATTGAAATATTAGAATGTAAAAAGTTTGAAAAATTAAAGTTTGGGAGAGACAGGCCACCGTCTTGCCTTTCTCGCTGCATAACAGTGAGCTTAATGCGCGGTCGTTTACCTTGCCAGAGAAGTTTTGATATTGCGGTTTGTAACTTGCTCCAATATTGAGAGGGCAGAGGAAGGGGAAGCATTGAGCTAACAAAATTGACTCTGGGCAGGACATTCATTTTAATAATGACCAACCTTCCCCGAAGTGAGTTTGGCAGGCTAGACCACCTGTCAAGAGCCGCCACTACTTTGCTTACTTTTGCTTTCAGGAGAAAAAAAAAAAAAAAATCACACTGATGATGTAGAGGTCTCAAAAACTCATGTATCAAATATGATACACTTGGTGTTACAGGACTAAACACCACCAATTTGCCCCTTGTTGTAAATCCTGTAAATTTTTCCACATTGTACCAATGAGGGATCAGTAAAGTTTATCTTATCTTTATCTTATATTCGTTATTGGAGTCCTTATTTTTAATGTAGACACCTGACATGCATCATTCAGTTCAGATGTCCTTCTTTTCTACCAACAGTTACAGAAACCAACACTTCCTGACTTCTGTTTACAATTCAATAAGAAAACTTCAGTTCCCATGATGCATTGCTGCCGAGATGACCAAAGGGAACGCAGGGCAGAGCGGCCGCTGTGACAGCTAAACTTCAAGTTTGCTGAAGGGGAAACTTCAGCACCGAATACGACCTTGAACACACACGAATTAATCTAACATGTAAGTCCAACTTGTTCCTTTTTCTTTAAAGCTTTCTGACGCTTCTGTCGTCGTCCTGTCGCTTCAGTGTTTGTTGTTGAAACTTTTTTTGAGGGGAAATTTGTACGGCGCTGCGGGAGGGTGGGTTCTGTCCGTGGGTGGAGGGAGGTGTTGATGCTAGTTGTTGTGCTTTTTGACATCCTCTGAATAAACTGACAAACATACCAAATTTAAGTCATAACGTCAGTGACACTTTGGTTAAACGTAAATGACACAGTTTTGTGTTTAAAGTGCGTTATTTTGTGTTGTTTTTTGTGTATTTGTAGCTAGCTAGGTATCTTCTGCCTTGACGTCCTGGAGTTTTGCTAATCCTGTTATCCATAACAATGCTAGCTAATGCGCTAAACGTGAAATGTACAATCTCTGGTAAACTGCCATCCCTGTACGATATTATTATGTAATATTAATTCTAGTTTTTGTTACCACCTCCCTGGTTTAACCACAAAGGTTTACAGTAAAACCATCCTTTAATCTCCAGCCCCTACTCTGTCAAAACCGTGTGCAAATATATGGTTAAAAACACGAGTTTCGCACCTGAAACAGTCTCACTATCTTGTTCAGGTGGTGGTTTTAGAGTCAGAAAAGCTTGTCTTCACCTCTTGTTTCTACTGTACAGTCAGACAGCGGGGACTCACACAAGGTGCAGCCTCTGTACACACAAACTGCATGGACATGAATAGCACCTTTGTGTTTAAACCGCACTTCATTCACTGCGATTCACCAGTGTTGACTGAGATATGAAATACTGGCATTAACACAGGCAGAATAGAGAACACTGCTAACCCATGATTAAGTCTAAGATATTTGAAGTAAGACGCACACCTTTAACCCAAGGGGAAAGAATAATTAATCTGCCTCAGGCTGTCTTTCTCTCTCTCTTTGGGGTCTTTGCCTGGATCTTAAAACCTTCACACAACTGTTCACTTATTGCAGGAAAACATTAACAAAGGTTGGATTTTAAAAGAACACTGCTAAGATGAACAACTTCAAAACATTTTTAGAATGCACTGAATTGCAATTAAGATTTATTAACACACACACACACACACACGCACACACACACACACACACACACACACACACACACACACACACATATATATATATTAGAATGAGTAGTGTTGAATGGTATCTAATAAATACTGTCTGTAGCATAAACTGTCAATTGGTGTAAGTTGGGATCAATTGCTTGCTCAATCACATTCAGTTTTTTAACCTATTTTTTGATCGGATGTTCTTTTTGAGAAAATATTTCACATTTGAGGAGTCGCATGCTGACATTTGACTTCAACCAAAGTAGAATATCAGCTGTCTGTGAAGATTCTCAGTCATCCAGGTCATGGTTATTCCAAAGAATATAAGTATCTGGAACTCCCAACTAGTCAGTCAGAACTGATGAAGCCTCTTGAGAAGTGAAACGTCTTCAAGGAGCTCAACCAGTTGCTACGATTAATCTACGAGAATAGAATAACAGCTGTTTAAGAGTCTGAAGATTTAATTTCAGCCCCAGTAGAAGCCTGATGGACTGGAGTGCACTTTTCAGAACATCTTTTTCTTAACTTAAAGTGGTTTTGCTTTTCAGTGGTTTTGCTTTTCAGTGTCCAAATCCCACACTTTACATGAATAAATATTTCTTGTTGTTATTTTCAGTCAGTAAACAAGCTTGCTGAGTGTAGAAGTGGTTCCTCAAGGAGGGGACTCAGCTCAGAGTTTAACAAAGTTGAAGAATTTAAGCTCCTTACTTTATGAACAAGATCTTGTGTGCTGTAATTGAAGATTTTAGCTGTTTCCTATGATGTCATGACTGTGGCAGGCTGTCTGCTATTTTACATTAAGAGGACAATCTTACAGAAACAGTGCCCTTTTTTAGTATACGTGGAAATACATAAGACTGAGTGACTACTAATTCAAGTTTAAAGAGTTTTTCTTTGTCACATTCTCATGCAGTATGGGCATTGAAATGCAAAGTGACTGTTGCACAAGGCCGTACAATAACAGTAAGACATGATGACGTAATACATAACAAGGAGTAAGGAGATTGTAAAATTAAAGTGCAATATACATTGTGCAAAAGTTTCAGCCATGTATGTGTCTGTATGTTATGTTAATGCATACACACATTCTGGTTGTTTTAAAAATATGTACATTAATTACAGTCAGTTGTTGGTTTTTGTTTGGTGCTTCTTTGTTTCCAGCATCCTTGTTTACAGATTTGTCTGAACCACCACAGAGTGATTTTGTTCCCAGCATTAAGTTAAGCCTTATTTAACAAACAGTGGTGGCCTCACTGTGAGCTGCATGTTAAACGAGTTACTGTACACATCACTGCTGTTGTCCTATAAGCAAACATTTGTGTTTAAATTGGCCTTCAAGGGTACTGTGTATCCTTAAATGTTAATGTTATATTTAAACAAAAGTAGCATCCAGAAATCATCCATAAAGCATAAAGAAAATAGAACAGAATAGAATAGAATCATTTTTATTGATCCTCCATTTGGGGAAATTTACACGCCACAGCAACATCCAAAAATATAGAAGGAAAGCAGAAGAAAATAACAATAATTAAGTAATATGCATCCCTGGTGCACACAGCAGGTCCAAGGCCCCACCGTCTCTGGTAGGGCAGTCCTCATACTGGCTGAATGTGGGGAAACAATGTATGATTAAAATCTCCTGAGATGATGATCAGAGACTGAGGGTGTGATGTTTGCAGCTGGGACACTGTGGAAGAGCTCACAGGCCACAGCAGCATCAGTCAAGTAAACTGCAATTGCCAGGATGTGTGAAAATTCCCTCAGCAGGTAAAACGGCTGCAAACCAATGGCCAAGAGAAGACATGTACTAGACTAAACTGAACTGATTTGTTAGTTTTGTTGTCTTAGATAGCCAGTAATTAATCACTGATTACTGTCTGTAAATCAGTGGCCAGCAGTGCTTGGAAACAGACTTGGCAACGTGATAAAGGTTGAACTATAGGACTCAATCTAATTTGTATAATACAGTTGAGACCAAAGCCAGGCTCTTTGTACTATTTGGTTGATGCAAATCACTGCTTTCATGAGGAAGAGGGAAGTCTGATCTGCTGTATGACATTAATCTGAGGACATGCTGACTCACAGACTTCTATCATGTTCTTTTTTTTGAGTTACTACTGTCCTTATTGTGTCTCAGGCTCACACTGTGGTAAACCAGCACGCCTTTTTTTTCTCTGGACGTCCCTCCTCCTCCTCCTTCACCGCCTCCCCTCTCGTTCCCTGTTCAGCCCCACCTCCACCCTGCCTCACTGTTGCTTTCTCTCTTTCTGACAGGACACGCTCAGGACAGGACAGAAGCCGGCCGGTAAAACAGCACTAGCAGCGGAGAGCGTTTAAATTGACGGGTATACATTAAAGGAAGTATCCTACACTGAACACCAAATGCTAAGACAACTACTGCAGCAGCACAGTAAGTCCTTTTCACAGTTTCACTATCAGTACCGTATCAATGAGTTTGTCCTGTGTTATTAGCATATTAGCATGCTGTTTCTCCCTTGAACTGCTGCAGCTGTATTCAGTCTCTGTTGATTAATGTTGATCCAGCATAGAAGCGTTTACCTTTTTGTTTTCCTCCACTCCTGGTGTTTGTCGTGTCAACACAACCTAACTCAGTGAAAAGATGTTTTGTTTGCTGAATTTAGCCGCTTTGGGCACAAAAAAAGATATTTATTAATGAGGGATTGATTTCCATTTGTTTTTTGAGTGTGCTGATCATTTAATTTTATATAAATTAGTCACTGGGATTCTTTAATTTTGCTTCAGGCTTGTCTTTTTGTACTTTTGAAACTTTCTTTTCTGTCTGTTGTTTTATGCATCAACCGTTTCTGGCCTCGCAGTTCACTCAAACAGGCGCACGATAGGTGTCATAACATAAGACGCAAACATTCATGATTGAACATGTTGGCGTCATGCTGTAACTGTCAGATGGTGTTATACCTTTCCAGCTTGTTTAGCCTAAATAACAGAAGAAGGAGGTTATAGGTTAGAGAAACGTGTGTGCTACGAAAAGCGTGGCATTTTATCCAACTTGTATATCATCTCTAAAGAATGTTAAAACTTAAGAATAGTGTGCAGAAATCTGTTGCCCTTATGTTCAGCTTTCAGGGTATCTCAGAGACACTTCTCCTCTACAGTAACCTGTAACACAACCTCATACAGATTTGCAAATTTAATCCAGTTTGGCTCTAAGTTACACATTCCAATGTTTTGTTTTTTTCCCCCTAAAGTTTGGCACATCAGTTGTTGATTGTGACTATGAGAAAACTCAGCTGGATTCAACGAAGGGCCATAGACAATATTGTCTTCCTGTGAAATATTCTGTTGTTTCATGCTGTCTTTGCAACATCATTAAAATGCATAATATCTGATTTAGGACTTTGGATAGTACTGATGAGCATTTACAATCTAAATTAATTATTTCAGCCTTGCTTTTTGATCTGTCTGTAGTATTTCTGTCTTGAAGGTCATGGCAGTGAGTAACTCAGCAGGCTCACTCTTTGTGGTACACTGGCTATATCTTTAACTTTGAGTCAGAGAAGTTGTTGTTCTGCTCAAATCTCAAAAATCTGCAAGGTGATTATGTTGGATTAGGTGTATGACGTTTTGAACCAAGATTTTCTGTGTCCGTTACAGCTCCCCAGAGCAGATCTTACGGGACACATGTTGAGTGAACAGAGCAGATTCCTCTTTAGAGAGTGAGTGATTGGTATTTGGGTTTTTCTGACCACTTTCTTTTTACGTGGAGCTGCTGTCCAGATTTAGCTCTCCCAGTTGTCAGGGTGACATTCCTGCTTACGGTGCTCTGTTGTTTCCCATGCCCTTTTTTTCGTGTTATTTCTATTTCATCTGTGCTTCTAATAATAACTGGCTGTGATCTTTAACACTGGAGTATTCAGTGTTATATTAACAAACAATTAATCATTCCTATTTAAATTACCCATTAGTTGCAGTCCTGCCCTTTCCTCCGGTTCCCTGGGTTTTTATCTTAGCTGTGTTAGCTAATTTCCTAAGCCTTTCCAGCTATCTTTTAATGTGGCAAACCTCAATATTTGTTTTGTATCTGACACTACAACCTGTTTTGTCATGAAGTCATAATGTCTGCACTGTGCAGTCATATCCCAGATATTCTTAAGCAAAGATATTATTTTGAGTATAACAGATCAATAGAGAGATAATTCTACAACATATCCACGTTATATGTATTTGACAAAGTGATGAGACGACACCAGCCTAACTAACTGTCATCATGTGAGTTTGAATCTCCCACTTCCTAGCTCTTACTGGCGTCTTCTTTATGGCCGATATCACGAAATGACTCATAAATGTTACCTTTTATGGGAACTTGGTGAAGTGAGTGTAGGTTGCTAATGGTTAAACAAAAGATTGTCACAATTCAGTGCTATGATGGAGTCTGGTGGTTCAGAACAACTGTAATTGCCCATAATGAGTGGATGAGGTCATTTATAGTTTTACAACTGTCAGTTGTTTCACTCTAGTTTCACTTCAGGATAGAATTGTTTTTTGCTGTGTGGAGTTTATGTACCTCAAGAATAAACAGTTTTATGAATGAAAATGAAAAATACTTTATTCATCCCAGAAGGGAAATTCAATATTATTATTGTTATTTGGTTGTATAATGTTGTGTGGTGGTCACTGATAAAATCTAACAATAATTTATTAACTTCTAAAGTTTTCAGCCCAGTGTGTAGTGAGTTTAAAGTTTTATTATTTAGATAATTTTCACTTTTTAACCTCACTATTAATTTATTCTTGCATTTAGTTTGCCTTGTTTGAATTAAAATAGAGTGAAGGATCAATGTGGTCTTCAATTTTGTGTGAGTGTCACAGTTGGAATCCAAGGAGCAGAATATTGTAGTGGTTGGCAACACAGATACTGTTCATGCTTTTCTTGTCAGGCATCATATTGCAGTTTAATTGTGCCATAAATGTCTTGTGATGCGTGTGCTTGTAAGCAGGTTATAGGTATTGTGGATCGTCTGAGGACTTAATGATGCGGTCTGATCGTGACCTGATGCATGTTCGCTTATCTCGATACAAGAACAGACTGTAGATGCACCGTTGGCTGACCTTATCCTCTTAGCTGATAAAGTTCAAATATTTAATCCAGCATGATGTTTAGATAGGTGATGAAGGGAGGATAAATTCAGCAGAAGAGATGCAGCTTTTAAATAATTTGACTAAAGTTTTTCGTTGTGCTAGCTTTGTAGTATCACACAGTCATAGACAGATTTTCAGAATTAACGCATAGAACAAATATCTCAAAGCATTATGTGCAACACATGGCCTCTTAGCCCGGCAAATAGTGCCTCGTAATCATTAAGTAATTTCAGTCCTCCACACCATGTGCATTATTCTCTGGTGTTCTGAAGGCCAAAACTATGAAGTGTTTTTCATATTGAAATTGAGTGAGTTTATTTGCACTCCAAGGAATTTAAAGCACTTGAAGTCAAGGCTCTACTTACTGTTATTGTTAGTATTGTACTTGTTTTTTTTCCTAGATTTTGATGAAGTAAAAAAATCAAAGACAGTCTCACTTTCTATTTATTATTGTTAACTTTCCTGTTCTATTAATAACCAACTCTGCAGGTTGTGCAGGCAAGCAGCTTGTAGTAGCTTGTAGTTTGAGCGAGAAAAGAATGTGCTTTTGCCTTTCATTTTATTCATTTTAACCAGATTTGTTCGGTTTCTTTTTGTCCATTAACTTCACACAAAGTGAAGAACCCTTGCACATAGTGTTTCAAAGTACTTGGAGGTTGTTCCATGCATCTTGAAGAAGTTGCTACTGCTCTTTTTTGGATTTATACTCTTTAAATGTCGATAGTGTCTTCATTTACTCCCAGACTGACTTTATTATGTTGGGATCAGGGTCATACCATCTGTTGCAGGACTCCTTGTTCTTCTTGTCACTAAAGATTTGTGACTCTGGTTGTTTTTTTGGGGTAGCTGTTGTGTTCCAGGATGAATTTGGGAATGATCAGATCACCTTACTGATGGTGTTGTTCGCTGGATAAGAGTCTAAACATTTCAAGTGCCTAAAATGTTTACACAGTTTTGTTTGCTGCCTTGTTAAAGATTAAATCAAGGACACTCGGCCTGTTTGGGTTGTGACCCCTCACAAATATAGCTGTAGCTGTAGTCCCTGGTATATGAGAGAGTGCTTCCCCTCTAAAACATCTCACATGGTTTTCTTGGCATAACCTTTGGGTAGAATTATGCAATGTTTTCCAAAATAGTAAGAAAAATAAGGATTTTTTTTCCACACAACTTTTCTTTCTAGCTGAAACAAAAAGGGTGTAAAAGGAGTAATGACTTGTGTTTTGCAGGTTAAACATTGAGGAATTTCGCACCTGCTTACAAAAAATGTTTTTGGTGGAGATGTCTGACTTTGTGAGTAGTAACATGGGAAATTCCAGTTATATTTGTGTGGAGGGCAAATGCCTACAAAGTGTGTCGAGCTGTATAGGCAAAACTGACTTACTGCACTTTATACACCATTATTAAAATGTTTACAGATACTTGCCTTTTTCCTCTTCGCATTTCCGTGACCTGTCAATGAAAGGAAAGCATAATCAAAAACTGTTTTGCTTAAAAAATACATGCTTAGGAAATAGGCTAATTAAAATTGGCTGCTTTTAACCTCATTCATTTCCACTTCTTGGGTGTTCATTTCCACTTTTTGGGTGAAAGCTACAGGCAGTATAGTGGGGCAGTGGTTGGCATCACAACAACGTCTGGGTTTGATCCTGCTGGCCTTTCTGTGTGGAGTTTGCATATTCTCCTGCACTGGTTTTCTCCAGTTGCTCTGACTTCATTCTTAAATGGTAGGTTAATTGGTGTTTCTAAATTGGCCGAAGGTGTGCATGCATTTTTGTTTGTCTCTTTGAGTTAGGCTTTGCGATGGACTGGGGACATGTAGGGTGTAACTCACCTCTTGCCCAGTGTCAGTTGGGATAGGCTTTCTACAGGATTGTAACTGATGGACATATGACAAAAAGTACAACTGAAAAAAGTGCTTCTTCACTACATATCTTTGATTTCATGCCACTATAGAAGTAGTGTCAACAAATTTATTTATGAACTTAAAAAAGTATTTGTTAAATGAATCACCCAGTTACTTGCGATAAGTTCCACTTGATTTTCTTATAAGTTTAAAAAAACTGTTGTAGTTCATGTTTTGCTATATTTAAGCCTAACCAATGCTGCTTAAATTTTCCAAAAACGTAGATCTTTTATACCTTGCTGCAATAATTACAAAATAACTACTAACATTTTGTCTTGTTCTCTGTTTCAACCTAAGCTCTTAGTTGTGGATTCCTTCTTCTAGTAATTGCAAACAAGAGATAAAAGAAAAGAGGCTTCTGGCTTGCATGCAGAATGTGGCTCATCCAATCTGCTAATGATAGGGTGAATATAAAGTGTTGACAATCAGTGTCTTTTGTACCCTCTTTCCTAAGTCCTCATGTCTCAAATGCACCCTCAGAGAACTCCCTGAGTGCAGGCGTTCTCTGTCCCTCCCCCTCCTGGCTCAGCCACTCTTCTCTCCTGTGTGCTTCAGCTCACGTACACACCCTCCTGGAAGGGCATTGTTTGCACAGAGTACTAAAGAACCTTCACCTCTTTCGCTCAGATTCAGTCCAGGCTCCAAGGTCAAAGGCAGGATTTCAGTTCAGGTGTGACGTGAAGTCAGAAGCACACAACACCAACGTTTTTTACTGTAATTCCTGCAAATAATTATTGTTTTATGAGACTGAACATCTCACCTGCCTCGGTTATGTGTACACTTTGAAAAATCCCTGATGGCATTGTAAGTCTTTTTTTGACTGCTGACTGTTGTTGAGGTTGGTGCACTCATCTTCTCTGCAGCTCCATTATGTTCTGTTTGAATGATGTCCTAGCTGATTACTCAGCTGGCTGGTTTTTCCTTTCTTTCTCTGGCATCCCGCCTAGCAGGCTAAAAAGATGGGAATACAAAAGAAGGGGAGAGGGCTAATAACCACATCCTCTGGTGTCACCCCTAAGTGGCTGACAGGGTCTTGGTTGGTTGCACGGTTGACTAACCAATGGTGTGTTTCAGTAACTGCTAAATTGGAACTGACAAAAGCTTGTACAGGCCTCTTCTCTCTCTCCATGAGTGCATTGCTTTTATATTGCGTACATATGAAATTAGGATATTTTTTACCTTCAGGGTCTATGTTAGGTGAGTGTAATTCCGCTGTGAATATGTTTATGTGAGAACCTGCAATCTCTGGTCACACTACACATAGATTTCCTGCCAGAAATGGTCAGACTGATAAATATTCACACTGGTTAATATCAAAAGTAAAGTCTATGGGTGCGCTGTGACTCCCGAGACATCTCTAAAACAGAGAGAGATGATTGATGGGGAAGTGTTGGCCACAAACCAAAACACTCAGCTGATTGGATGCAGTGGAAAGCAGAAGAGACCACAAGATATATAAGATAAAAGGGCCTCTGCTTGGGGTGGTCATAGTGATACCGGTGCTGAGGGGAGGGGCATTAACTCATGTGTAGTCAGATAGGTGTGTTTGATAGCGCATGTGGATACAGCTGCAGTCTTCAGCTGTGTCATGTGCATATGTGCATTAGCCTGTGCTGTATTTGCCAGTAGCTGTTGCTTTAATTGGACCTAACCCTTTGCCCTCTAGCCAGCATGTTTTATTGACTGCAATAACTAGGCTGAGGTATCAAGTGTCCTTTTGTTACCAGCCGGGATAAAACATGAAGCCTTTATGTAGCTTCAATTAATGAGGAAGGTGTTATTTTAACAATAAAACACAGATAAATACCCAGCTATTTGAACTCTGTGAGAATATCTTCATATTTTATTAAAAAAAAAAAAAAAAAAGTACTTGCTCGTTAAAATCTTAGTGTAGGAGGATCCACATGTCAGTTTCTAAAAGCTGAAACTGGTGCTTTGGCAAGAGCAGTGATGGAGAATCTAGAGAGGAGATCTGCCAATGTTATGCGCTTTGAATATGCTGCAAAGCAAATAATGTTTTTACATAAGGCATTTCATCAGAGTGAATACTGAACACTACAAAAATACATAATTCTGACGAGGATCCAGTTTAAACTTTTAATGTATTTTTGACTACATTGTGACCAATTTTAGATGCACAATATTATTTTTTGTGCTTGCAGTACTTTGCTCTATATTACTACATTTGCCTTTAGTAGGGAATTCGCTATCTATTCTTCTGTTACCTTTAAAAACAAAGTGTAAAGTGTATATATATAACGGTGTATGTGCAGATTCAAAGATATATAAAGTAGGTGGCATTATTGGGACATACCGTATGGTGTGCTATGTGACAAACTGGACTGATTAATTCACAGAACAGAAGTGCAGATCCTAACTGACATTTTGTAGCCAGGGCTGTACCTTCTGTTAGTATTGACTCTGTGTATAATTCATATAGCATGAGCTAGGTCTTGCTGTACAGTGTACTTGTGGGAACGTTGTTTTGAGGAACCTGATCTATGTGGAGCTTCAGGCAGTGGTAACTCTATCTTTGTGACCCTAAAACACAGACTGGAGACTGGGTCCTGCTTTGTTAATAGTGAAAGACTCTTTAATCCAACAAAAAGGTTCTTTTAAACCTCTTTTAAAAAACACAGCAGAATCAGTTACATACTTAGATGTGTCAGAAACTAAAATCTAAATAGCAAGTCGAGGGTGGACCCGCACGTCATGTTTATTTTCATTATGCCAGTTTGTAACTTGCCTTGTTACTTCCCGTGACAATTGTAAGGGTCTCTATGAAAATAATTATCTTAACATTTACCATGAAGAGTGGCTATATAAATACATATAAAACCATATGCTATGTACAGTTCTGTATGTTGCTAGAGTTGCTGTTTTTTTATATTACTATGGGATGCTTTTTTTTTTTTTTTTTAAAGCGTTTGATCACAGGAATACAGTATGTTAGAGTCTGGCTGTACAAATATTTGAAATCACTGTACAACCCACATTAATTTGTAAATCTGCAACAGGAATTGATTATCATTGGTGTTATATGCTTCGTATTCTGCTTTGTGGGTCTATTATATTTCTCATACACACGTGGACAAAATTGTTGGTACCCCTCGGTTAATAAAAGAAAAACCCACAACTGTCACAGAAATAACTTGAATCTGCCAAAAGTAATAATAAATAAAAATTCTATGAAAATTAAGCAACGAAAATCAGACATTGCTTTTGAACCGTGGTTCAACAGAATTATTTAAAAAAATAAACTCGTGAAACAGGACAAAAATGATGGTACTCTTAGAAAAGACTGAAAATAATGTGACCATAGGGACATGTTCAATCAAGGTGTGTCCTCTAATTAGCATCACAGGTGTCTACAAACCTGTAATCAGTCAGTCGGCCTAATTATAGGGTTACAAGTAGTCACTGTGCCGTTTGGTGACATGGTGTGTACCACACTAAACATGGACCAGAGGAAGCAAAGGAGAGAGTTGTCTCAGGAGATTAGAAAGAAAATGATAGACAAGCATGCCAAAGGTAAAGGCTATAAGACCATCTCCAAGCAGCGTGATGTTATGTTAACTATAAAAATATTATAAAATATTAAGTTAAGGGTACCATCAATTTTGTCCAGGCCTGTTTCATGAGTTTATTTTTTAAAAATAATTCTGTTAAACCACAGTTCAAAAGCAATGTCTGACTTTTATTGGTTAATTTTCATTGAACATTTATTTTTTATTGCTTTTGTCAGATTCAAGTTATTTCTGTGACCATTGTGGGTTTTTCTTTCATTAACCGAGGGGTACCAACAATTTTGTCCACGTGTGTAGTGAAAAAACAACAAAACTGTCATAATCCTAGAGAGTAAATGTTAACAAACAATGTCTTTATTAGATATACTTACTTGAACGATTGAACTGTCATTACACCATACTGCTCTCTCGGCATGTACTAATGCATGCAACATGCAGTAAAATGCACGTGCAGGTAATACATGAGACTTTCTTGCATATTCCATTCCTGAAACATTCTAATGTCTTTTCTGTCCTCTCTCCCCCTTTGCTTTCTCCTTCCTCAAGTCATTACCTCCAGTGCCAGCCTGAGTCAGGTGCCCTGGCTGCCTGTGTTTTCTCTCTGAGGAACCAGGGGGCCTTAGTCTTGCAGTGGGACACCCAGCTCTGAGTCTGTCTTCACCCTGAACACTCCAGCCCCAGTCAAGCTGTCCCACCCTGCCTTCACTCCCTCCTCTCCTTCTCGTCAAGCTTCTCTTTCTCCTCCCTCCTGGCCCCTACAGGCCCATCTGGACTCCCAGCCAGCCTTCTCCCTCCATGAGGGGCAGCAGGAGGCGCCGGGGGCCCTGGATGTGGACCCCCAGCCTCTTCAGCTTGCTTCACCGGGGAACCACCGCGACCTAGAACGAGTATACTGCGATGTGTCCACTCTGACAGGTAGGTCAGGGTTAAGGATAATTAAAAATATTGAGTGCCCTATATAAATATACACCTAACCCTATGGACCGCAACACTTACTGCCGTGTTTGAAAGGAATATTACATTTTAATTACAATTACACTGTTTATCAGAACCAGAAACTGTAAAAATGGAAGGAATTGTTGAATTGTCAACTTTCCAATGATATTGGTAACAGCTGGGGCACTTAAAAAATGTTGCACATGTTGACTCCAGTTTTTTTTTTTTTTCCAATTTTTGTAAAATAAGCAATCAAAGAATTTCAAATTTTGTTTCTTCTTTCTTAATGATTTATGTCATAACTGTGCCATACTGCACAAAATACCTTTTTGAGTTCTTTCTACTTGTAGCCATGCTTGTGCAGGACTTTATGTTCCATTGAAGAATGAGTCCACTGAGGACTTAAATGTGAAAGAAGCAGAAAAAGGCCAGAAAATACACTATATTGCCAAAAGTATTCACTCACCCATCCAAATAATTGAAATCATGTGTTCCAATCACTTCCATGGCCACAGGTGTATAAAATCAAGCACCAAGGCATGCAGACTGTTTCTACACACATTTGTGAAAGAATGAGTTGCTCTCAGGAGCTCAGTGAATTCCAGCGTGGTACTGTGATAGGATGCCACCTGTGCAACAAGTCCAGTCGTGAAATTTCCTTGCTCCTAAATATTCCACAGTCAATTGTCAGTGGTATTGTAACAAAGTGGAAGTGCTTGGGAACGACAGCAATTAAACCACGAAGTGGTAGGCCACGTAAACTGACAGAGCGGGGTTGGCGGATGCTGAGGCACATAGGAAGCAGAGGTCGCCAACTTTCTGCAGAGTCAATCGCTGCAGACCTCCAAACTTCATGTGGCCTTCAGATTAGCTTAAGAACAGTGTGTAGAGAGCTTCATGGAATTGGTTTTAATTATGGGTTACAATTATTAAGCCATTAATCACCAAGTGCAATGCAATGTGTCGGATGCTGTGATGGAAAGCACGCCGCCACTGGACTCTAAAGCGGTAGAGACACGTTCTCTGGAGTGACAAATCACGCTTCTCCATCTGGCAATCTGATGGACAAGTCTGAGTTTGGCGGCTGCCAGGAGAACGATACTTGTCCGACTGCATTGTGCCAAGTGTAAAGTTTGGTGGAAAGGGGATTATGGTGTGGGGTTGTTTATCAGGAGCTGGGCTTGGCCCCTTAGTTCCAGTGAAAGGAACTCTGAATGCTTCAGCATACCAAGATATTTTGGACAATTCCATGCTCCCAACTTCGTGGGAACAGTTTGGAGTTAGCCCCTTCCTCTTCCAGCATGACTGTGTACCAGTGCACAAACAAGGTCCATAAAGACATGAATGAGAGAGTTTGGTGTGGGAGAACTTGACTGGCCTGCACAGAGTCCTGACCTCAACCTGATAGAACACCTTTGGGATGAATTAGAGCGGAGACTGAGAGCCAGGCCTTCTCGTCCAACATCAGTGTGTGACCTCACAAATGCGTTTCTGGAAGAAAGGTCAAAAATTCCCATAAACACACTCCTAAACCTTGTGGACAGCCTTCCCAGAAGAGTTGAAGCTGTTATCGCTGCAAAGGGTAGACCAACGTCATATTAAACCCTATGGATCAAGAATGCAATGTCACTTAAGTTCATATGTGAGTCAAGGCAGGTGAGCGAATAATTTTGGCAATATAGTGTACTTGAGATTCAGAGGGTTTATATGTGTGCATATTCAATCTCCATTCATAGTGGACACTTTTATGGAGTGTATTGTATCTTGATAGATTTATCAGTAGAGGGCAGTGTGTCCTTGCAGGTGACATATTAGCCTCACTGTGGTTCTTGAAGTGCTGTTTTCTTTCTCTTTGTTTGTCTTTTCTCCTACACAAACTTATACACTCTTTTATCTTTATACAAAACACAAACACGTGTACACACAAACTCTTCCTGCACTCAGACCTCTGTTCAGACCTGCCAGAGCTGGAGATAGTGAGCCTCCTTTCAGAGGGACTACCCAACTACACTCTCCGAGCAGACACTGTGTTTGGATATGACAGTGACGACTGGCTGCACACCCCTCTGCTGCCACGAGAAGTCGTACTGGGACTCACACATGAGCAGATTGAAGAGACGCTCAAGTACTTCTGTGAGTACTTGATTTTATCACTTGATTGTAGTGCTTTATTTATTTCCACTTAACATGCTGTGTAGTCTGCACACATGGAATTGCCAGTGTCGGGCTCTGTGGCATTAAGCCCCACTTCATGTTCCCCAAATTACTTTTTGGCCATTGATGTGAAATATTTTATATATATTTAGAATTCCTTAATTCTCAGTGTAGCAACTAAAAATGAACTTTGTTTGTGTGTGTGTTTCTAACATGGACACTTATCTTATCCCGCCGCTCTCCTCCGCACATACTTCCTGGTTTAAATACCACATTTGTGAGTCACAGATGTCAAATATCACCAAGCCTATTAAGCTGTCGTCACTTGGCTTCCTAAGTGGTCTGAGCTAGAGCTCTGCAGACATTGTATCCTTTTGGTCACTCTGACATCATGATGACAATGTTGGCATTTCAGTTGCTGCAGCAACACAGGAAGAGTTTAGACTTTTAAGTTGTGTGAGTCCAGACTTTTAACTACTGTAAGGCATAAGTGATCATTTTTAGCGTCTTTGTTGACCATCCTAAAACGTCTTGATCTGCCCTTAGATTTAGTGAGTCTTAGAAATTCTGCTCCGTTTGCAGTATGTAATATTTAACTGAGCTGAGAGTTAAAGTTGAAGAGCCTCACTTCACAACAGAATAGTCAGACAAGCCAAATATGTAAATTACTGCTGTGTTTATGTTGTAGTAATATTTGCAAAAGGTTCAGGAATAGTTTTGCATTTCTTGTATGCTTGTAGCAGACAGTTCTGTTCTCTCCTACCAGAATCCACATTTTTCTATATGTCTTGTACTGAACTTGCACTTACCAAGTTTTTTGTTTTTAATGAATGAATGAATGAATGAATGAATGAATGAATGAATTTTTTATGCCTACTGTGCAAAATTGAACAAATAAATGCTAGGGCCTTAACCTCCTAGGTATCTTCTTCTTCTGGAGACCTCAGCTTAGAGTAATAGGATTTTCTAAGATGTATGTTAGTGTCCTCATATTGCTTAATAAGCTGAACCTTGCTGATGCCAAGCCGCATGTTGCTATCAGGAACGGGACAGACAAACCTGATCCATGCACATTGTGCCAAGTGTGCCAGTCTACAGTGTTTTGACTCTTTTTGGCAGGTAGCATACGGTGTTGTTGGTCACTGTTGTTTAATTCAATTCAATTCAATTCAATTTTATTTGTATAGCGCATATTTACAACAACAAGTCATCTCATAGCACTTTACCACTGGTTACTGCTTCCCCCACTGTACCATTTCCAGTCCTTATGGTGCAGTTGCTCCAAAGTTATCATTCAATAGAACTTTGTATTTCTATATTACTAATAGATAAAAAGACCAAAGGTATTGGTAATTGTAAATGGTTCATATTTAAATAGTGCCTTTTTTAACCTTAGTTTCCAAAGCACTTCACATTGTGCATCTCATTTGCTTGACTGTCACACTATTTTTTACCTATCAACACAGTGCTTTAAACCTCGGATCAGACACTGCACATTGTATATCCTAAACTGCAGTCTTTGCGATTTGCCGAATGCATTATTCAAATTGCGATTTTGATTTAAAATTGATTCATTGTTCAACGCTATTTGTAACTAGTAACATAATGTAGCGTTTATCAGGTAAGAGTTTTTTTTCTGATAATGTCTACCTGGATGTAAAAAAAACCCTGGATAGCCGCAGAGGTGCGCTTGCTGCTGATGGCCCGTGGTGCAGCCTTCAGGGTGGGAGACAGGACTGCTCCTTAGTCAGCCAGATCTGAGCTCTCGAAAGGGATCAAGGCTGCGAAACGCGTCTATGCAGAGAAAATCCAGGAACACCTCTGTGACACAGGAAACACCAGATGGATGTGGCAGGGAGTCCAGGCACTGACGGACTACAAGACCAGGCAGGGGGTCGACAACGATGGCACTTCTCTTCCAGACAGGCTCAACAACTTCTGTGTGCGCTTTGAAGCATTGACAATCAGAGAGAGGGCTGGTCCTTCTCCTTCATCTGTCAGGCCAGCTTTCACCATCAGCGCAGCAGACACACGGAGGACCCTAGCCAGGGTCAACCCACGAAAAGCAACAGGACCGGACAACATCCCGGGACGTTTGCTCAGAGTCTGCGCTGACAAGCTGGCAGATGTGCTGACTGACATTTTCAACATCTCCCTCAGTCAGGCCATAGTCCCCAGATGCTTCAAAAATTCAGTGGCAAAGAAATCAGTTGCAGCCTGTCTGAATGACTAACACTCGATCACACTGACACCAATTGTGATGAAGTGTTCTGAATGGCTCGTCAAACCACACATCACAGCCAGCATTCCTGCATCGCTTGACCCCCCTTCAGTTCGCTTACCGTCCCAACCACTCCACAGAGGATGCAATATCCACTACCTTGCACTCAGTCATCACCTACCTGGAAAATAAAGACACCTACGCTAGAATCCTGTACATTGATTTCAGCTCATCAGCTTTAATACAATCATCCCCCAGAGACTAATAGAGAAAATCCTCCTACTCGGCCTGGATACTGCCACATCTCTGGGTCCTGGACTTTCAAACCGAAAGACCCGAGTCTGTCTGAATCAGAAGGAAAATCTCCAACTCCATCACACTGAGCACTGGATCTCCTCAAGGCTGTGTACTCAGTCCACTGTTGTTTACACTGCTAACACACAACTGTGCAGCCACACTTGAGGGGATCCAAATCATCAAGTTTGCTGATGATACCACAGTAGTGGGACTTATTCAACAACATTCATAATCTGCAAAACCACTAATCCTCAACAAGTAGTACATGTGTAACACCTACAAAGCAACTCAGACAGGCGGCGCAGTAAAGGGTGCTCACATCTCTGATTTTAAAGAGACTTTGTCCTGCATCTGTGATCTCCAATAGATATTGATTGTTTATGTATTAGTTCACATGATTGCTGTCCATCCATCCATTATCTATACAACGCTTAATCCTCACTAGGGTCGCAGAGGGGCTGGAGCCTATCCCAGCCGACTTAGGGCGAAGGCAGGGGACAGCCTGGACAGGTCGCTAGTCTATCACAGGGCTACACTTAGAGACAGACAACCAAGCACACTCACATTCACACCTTGCGACAATTTAGAATCACCAATTAACCTCAACATGTTTTTGGACTGTGTGGGAGGAAGTCGGAGAACCTGGAAAGAACCCACGCCGCATGGGGAGAACATACAAACTCCATGCAAAAAGATCCCACTGCCCCCACCGGGATGCGAACCGGCAACTTTCTTGCTGCAAGGCAACAGTACTGACCAGCTGCACCACCTTGCAGCTCACATGTTGTGCGGGACTCTATTTCTATAAAAGCCATGAGCCAAGACAAGGTGGCAAATGACCTTTGCAGGTGTTCCCACTCATAAATACATATCAGTGATATCAGCTGTCTGTTTGCAGAGTCTTGTACGTGTGAAATAGTTCTTAGCAAACAATCATATAATAGAGTAACTAGTTGTACTAGTTTTTGAGTTGTTGCCTGAATCAATCAATGTTTTGCGTAAACTGTGCATAATTGTCCATGTTTTTGTAACAAAGGGCTACAGAGTTAACGATTGTTAATCGTTAACTCTGTAGCTGTTAATGTTTGACTTCATAGTTTAGGTGATATGATTTCTGAAGAACCTTAACTGATGGTGCTGGATTAGCTTTGATTTTGTTCCTGTTTGATAGCTATGATAAAGCACTTATCACGCCTTTATTTGCTGTTGTGGCCAAAGTCCTTAAAACATTATTTCTTTATAACCATCTATTTCTCTTGCAGCCCTTTGTTATTATAACATTGTGTTGTTGCCTTGTAAGGGTTGAACCACTCCTCCAGATGAGGATTTGCATGTAGCCCCTACGCTTTCAAAGGTCTACCTCTGCACAGACTAACAAATGCTCGCAAAGACAAGAAATAGAATGGCACACTGCGAAAGTTGTATCTCTGCTGTCTCTTGCGTGCAGCGTTTGACCTGCAAAGAGTCGGTTTGTGGGTGAAAAATTAATGAGGATGTTAATATTTGATTAGAAGATACTGCTGTGTCTGGGGTACCAAATGCGAGGGTACAGGTCGGTCAGACTGAAAGGTGAATATGATGACAGAGTGTAGAATGACTGTGGGTTATGGCAACACATAAAACTTGACTGTAAAATTCACTGGAAATTCTTTAAGCCTGATGGTATCTTTGTTATTAGGTTGCCCTAAAATTACAGACAATTAGAATATTGTTACTTTCCAGTTATAGACAGCAGCTCCATTCATGTGAATTCATTTTTAATTACAAAAATGTATAGGAATTGCCCCCAGTAAGGCATTTATTTTGGCAGTAATTATTCGTGGGAGCATTGACTTGATCTTTGTCTATACACTGTTGCCTCTATCAGGCCTGTGTGGGTGTGGCTCTGTCTGCACCAGTCTTACGCAGAGCTCCCTCTCTATCTGCTGTTATGTATGCGTGGAGAAAAGAGCAGCCGTTGACATGGGCGGAACCTACCATCTCCCCCTGTTCTCAGGGGTGGGTTGGCTTTGTGCAGCATCCTTTTAGACTGCATCAGTTCTCTCACCCTAAATTGTTTTTTCACTTATAGGCACATCTTGCACGTCTTACAGTGATTGGACTCAGTCAGCATGCATAGCATCAGCTTTTATGGTTAATGGTTTAGGTATTGTTTCCGCCTTTACCCCTCCTCCTCCTCCTCTCCTCTTTTCTTACCCGGTAGTCCAACGTGGCCAGGTGAACGGAGGCAGGCATGACGACAGATGGCTTTACAGTCTGAGGGATTATATATTAACACTGAGCAGCTCAGATTCTCCTGCACACACAAGTGTATACACCCACTCACGTAGACTAGTGGATACTGTTTACCAAAACACACAAGCTAGCAGAATCATGCCAGAGACAAAACTGGTGTGTCACAGCACATCCGGCACACAGTAGAACCAGAAGGACAAGGGATTTAACCCATGGACAGAGACACGGAGAGCAGTTTTTCATCAGTCACCATGGAGGTGTGGAGCTCCTCATCGTCTGAGGAGGAGGAAGAGGACAAGAGTGCATCCAGTCTAGGCGATGAAATAGTGGAGGAGGAGAAGAAATGCCACAACAGCAATAACAATAACAACAATGACAGACTTTGCAGGGAGGTGACACAAGGTGAGATGAGGCAGTGTGTGATGTGACAGGGAATAAGAAATGGCAGGCGACTGATTGGTGATCTGCTTGCTCAGACAAGATACTTAAGAAAATGTAATAGTAAAGTATAGCAAGAAGTAAGGAGGGTCATTGTCGATGTGCTCATTCTGCCCAAATAACCTTCAGTAATGCTGCCTGCTGTGCTCTGTGGTACATTGCATTCTCTAGGTCTCTGTTATCTAAGCGCTTTAATACTTAATAGTGTCCTGCATATGCTGCAGGCTGCAGTGATGTCATTGACAATGCATACAAATGAAGATTAGCATCCACTAAAATGATTGTTTTTGCAGCACTTGTCCTAAGATTCATTTAAGACAAAGTGCTTCAAGACATGTAAAGTTTAGTAAATATATTCAGCTTGATTGTTTCTTCTTAGTGTGGTGAAGGTCACTGAGTTTGTGTATGCTTGTGCTTGTGTCCACACGCGCTGCAGCGGCATAATGAAGCCGTGTGTCCATGTTAGCAGTTGTAAATGGCATAATTTAGAATTTCTGTTGTTGTCTGTATTATACGGAGGTCAGTGCAATGGAATTGTCAAATTGCATTTTAATGTCCCAAATTTGATTTTCTTTTTCCTTTTTTTATTTTTATTTTATTTTTTTCAAAATTCTTAGTTAGTTTAATACATTTTAGAAGGAAAATTGTGCTTTAAAATTGGTCCAATGAGACTGGTTGTGGTTTTCATTCCTAGCAAAAGGTTGGGGTTTTGTGGGACAAGAACTGCAGGTACATTAACTATGCAGCTGGCCCAGTTCAGTAATTTAAGGTGTCTATGCTTTTACTTAAATGCCTCGAGTAACGTTACACTTTACATTTAAATGTGTCAAAAATGGTGTTTTTATATACGTATGATAATTTAATGGTGTTGGCTTCTTCTCTGGACCAGGTTTCTTGGCACACTATAGACTTTTTGCAGTATTTTTTAAATAAATGTATGAGTTTTGATTATAAAGATGCATACTCTGATCTTTTGGGTTTAATGTGAGCAGGGAGTCTCCTTTATGCCTTCTCTGTATGGGGCGTTCTTTGTCTGAATGGGTATGTGGCTGGCACATGCCCATGTCGCATTATTCATGCGACATGGGCACCTCTCCAGAAAAATGAGACGCTCTGGATTTCTGGCCTTGTATTTTATGTTCGCAGATGCTTATGCTGCACATTCTGTGCATGTGTCTTCTCATGCCAGGATTTTAAGCTAAGAAAAATCCAAATGTTATTTTAAGTCCATATTTGTCGTTAAAGTAGCTTTTTTTTTTTTAACCATTACCACTGTAAAGTCTGTTGACACTGAAGACTGAAATATTCAAACATTTATGCACTCCTGCCAAACTTGCCAAGTGTGCAGCTTCAGAACAGATCAATCTGAATCCTATTCATGGAGCTCATCCATGCCCGTTTGATCCCCACAACACAACAGACGTCATAAGTATACCTAAGTCAGCAAGGTTTATCCATTGGAACAGTATTAGGCTAGCAGTTCATTGTACCTGTCTGGATTTAGCTCAACCTAGACCCTAAAACCTCTTGCTGGCATAGTGAAACCTCTTTCCTTGATCTTCTCTGGGCTTTAACAGTCAGGTCAAGAGGAAATAGATCAGGTGTCTTGGCTGGTGGGCTTGGATAGATGTACAGTTAAAATGCTTGCTGCAGGATGAAGGATAGGACTCATTCATTTAAGTACAAATAAGCCATTTAATAAATGAAGCATTTTAAATCACCCTTCATTAACTGTCATTTAAAATAGTATAATATGTAGGAAAAAATGAGAAGTTAATATTCCTGATGCAGGAATACATTGATGTTATAGGCTTATTAAATGTGTTTAATTATTAATATTACTATCATTTGGCTGCACTGTTGACGACATTTGAATGAATCTTTCAGTACAGTAGGATTTAAGGAAGCTGGACAATCACCTGATTAACCTTTGTTAATTTATAGCAGGGAGGCTCAGCTTGCTTTGGCCAGATAAAACGGATTAACATTAAGAGGACCATAGCTCATCTTTCTTTGAAATTATTTGTTTTCAAATAAACAGTAACAGCTAAAAGACTTTTTTTTTTTTTTTTTTTTAACATGCACAATCTCAAAAAAAAAAAAATCTTAATGTGAGTCATTGTATTTTCATTTTTAATTTGAAAAAGGTCAGCTGGCATTCTGTCATGACTCTGATATGACCTGAGGGCCTTAAGTCGAGTATAGAATGTATTTTGATTATTACACAGAAGGACTATATGACCATAATTATGCACAGCTCAGGAACTAGTTTACTGTTAATTATGATTATTGTTTACTGAACTTCCTGATTCATAGAAATTTAATCAAAGATAATTACCAGATAGTACGATTTTGATGTCAGAAATCAACATCTTTACTCTCTTGTTGGTTTGAATGTTTAAGGGATTTAATGTATAAAAGTACGTTTTATATTGTTGTTTTCATCACTGTAATGAATAATATTAATTTAAATACATTTTTTTGAGCACTGGAGTTTATTTGATCGCAGTCAGATCTCAGAGATATTGTATTTTGTTTTTAGAATTTGATAAATCAGACAGTATTCGTGGCCTGACTTACTCGGCCGACAGCGTTAGATTCGTCCTTCTAAGGGAGACTGAGTATTCAAGTGCATTCACCCTGCTGCAGTATCCTTGAGAGAAACATGAGAACCTGCCATGTTATATAGCCAGCAGTGACCACTAAAATTATATTCACAGGGTTCCCAATGTCATTTGTCATCACTTTGTGAGAGTGATTTTGATGCATGATGATATTCCTGTCTGCTCTCCTCCTGACAAAAGATGTCTTGCAAAATCTTTTGGATAATTTTTGTCTCATTAAACTGCTTCACACTTGTGAAACATTTTTGTTACTACATTTGTGTTAATCTACTTAGTAAAGATGAAACACAGCATCCATCTAACAGTAAATCCCCTCAGACTGCTACAAACTTGATTTATGTTATATAAGTCATGGTCAGTATACGTTACTTCTGTCCATTAGACTGATTGGATGCTGATACAGCTATCCAGTCACTCTGTTTCCAGGCCAAATGCAAGGTCCTTAATCTAATTACTTTGCTATAGGGCAACTTCCCATCTCTTTAGTTTGGCTAAGCTTCTGACTGAAGTAGGATTACACAACGGGTTTTGTTTAGAAGTGTTTAGGCTCATTCAGCATTGTACACTGGTTCAGGCTAATTCTGTACATCTTTAAACAGATTCAAACTGTTGTTAAAATTTTGTAGGCGATTTATGTGATTGATCTGTGCCACTAAACAGGAAGGCTTGCAAAAAAAAACAAAACAAAAAAAACAGACAATTTAAACACACCATAGAATTTACTGTGTTTGGTAAATTTTAATTCAATTCAATTCAATTTTATTTGTATAGCGCAGTTTACAACACATGCTATCACACAGCGCTTAACATAGTAAGGTATAGACCTTACAAATTTAAACAGAGAACCCAACAATCCAAAGTAGCCTTTGGACTTCCTCTGAGCAAGCGGTTGGCAACGGTGGGAAGGAACCAAAACCTCCCCCAGAGGGAGGGGGGGAAAAAAACCTCCGGTAGAACCAAGCTCAGGGAAGACGGCCATCTGCCTCGAAATGTTTAGAACATAAGGCTCTGTCAATCAAAATAATAACCTTTGAATTTCCAATGAATTTAAGGTTATTAACAAATTAGAAAGGACGTCAAGTACACTGGTGACCATGTCAACGTCAGATCCGTCTCAACTGTCCTGGCTAATTGGTCTTCTGCACCCTTTTAGCCTTACTGACTTTGGTTTGTTTGTGCCCACTTGGTTGTCCAGGATGTAAACAAAGTTACAGGTCAATAGCCAGTCACTGTTATCCCTCCCATGCTGTACATATCCTTCTGGGGTGAACACTGTCAATTCAGCCCTGGCAGCCTCTCCCACTGAGCTATATTGGTATCCAGGAGAACGAGGTCTTTATTGGTGTCTTATCTGGGCTAAAAGGGATCAAGCTAAGAGGATAGCTGTCTGGGTGACCACATGGAGATGTTGTGGTCTGTCGCTCAGGAAACTCAAAGACAGTAACATGCTTTTTAGTCTGGCCATGTTGTTACAGGTTATATTAAATGTTAATTGTGTGACAAGTACGTATTTATGATGGAAGTCTCTCTTTCTTCACTCGTTTATAATCTATGAATAATGCTATTTTTTAAGCACATAAATCCATTTTCATCGGATCCAGAAACTTAACAGACAAGTGATATCTTGACAGTGCACTAACCAATAAGAGACAGCAATATCAGATAAAATTAGATAAAAGTTTATTGATCCCTCATCTGAGAAATTTACGTTACAGCAGCTAGATAAAGATGAGGCATGAAACAAGCAGAACAAAAGTTACAAAAGTACAATACTGCTAACAATGATAATATAATAATGGTATAATAAAGAGGCTTGATAAATTTACATATTGATATGTACAGATACGGCATAATTTATTTATTATATAAATAAGTCAACAAGATGTCAGTCCCTTCATCTCTTGTAAGTAAAAATGGTCTGTTTTTATATATTGTAGTAACAGTAGGTCACTGAGTAGCTTTCTGAGATATAGAAACAAGAAGAGATGAGTTACAAATAATAAATGAAACATTCCAACTGGCTTGTTATTGTTGTTTGTAACCACCGTCCTATCATAAGTTATCAAGCCTTGTTGCTATTCCCTTTGTGTCTTCCTCCTCCATTCATTAAATCCCTCTCTTCCTCCTCCCTCAGTGTTGTGCTCAGACAGAGTTGGCCAGGTCACCAAGACATATCATGACATTAAGGCAGTCACCCACCTGCTTGAGGAGGTAAGAGAGAGACGCACAGCAGATGAACGGGACTAAAAAGGTTTAAATTTATCTGCCTCACAGACCATCGCAATTTGTCACCATTTTCAGCACTCTTGTTTCCATCAGTGTGATCAGATGAAAGTTTCTGAAACCGGATTAAAAAATAAATAAAATTAAAAAGTGATTTCCTGATTTTAAACCATGATTATGCAACTGCAAAACTCAAATAATGAGACTACCTGTATTTATTCATGTCTGTGCAGAAAGAGCGGGATCTAGAGTTGGCAGCGCGGATTGGTCAGTCTCTCCTGAAGCAAAACCAAGAAGTAACAGCACGCAATGAAATGCTGGATGAACAGCTTGAAATTGCAAATGAAGAGGTATAAACAATACACAGTTTTTGTGACGAGTGTAATTCTTGATCTTTGTTGTGTCACAATCTGCCGAGCTCAAGTGATCATGACTTATTTTTCTAGATCGCTCAGCTTCGCCATGAGCTCTCGATGCGAGACGACCTCCTTCAGTTCTATGCAAGCACCGAGGAGATCGAGAACGCTCAATCGCAATCACCGTAAGTGCAAACACATACATGTACACACCTACCTGCCACTGGATTAAGCAGCATGAAAGCATACAGTTTATTTATAAGTTTATGTCAAAAAAAGGGTACATCTGTGGCTTAGTCTATGATGATTTCTTTAAAAACAAGTAAGCTTTGCTATTCTACAAGTAGACAGAAATTATAAAAGCAAATCAATTTAATTGCAATTTTTATTGATTAAAACTTGTCAATATGAGCATAATAGAACATTTCCGAGCATCAGACAAGGTGTGCTTTATCCATGTCCCTTATGAAAAATCTGTAATTAATGCTTCAGGTAAGCACAAATGCTACCCTAAAGTAATTCAAAAGCCCTCATGCTTCTCTTAAATGATATATAAGATGTGTTTATCGATGTTTATGATTCAAAATTCAAAAGTTTTTATTGTCATATGCTCATAGGTTATGTGCAGTAAAATGCAAAGTGACTGTTTTTCAAGGCTGTGCAATAACAATGAGACATTTTAAAAGAACATTCTTTAAAAACAATAGAAAAATAGAGAAATAAGAGATAAAATTATTCTAAATGCTCACTATGAAGAATTGTGCTTTACACTGTTGCTCACTACAGTGAAATTGTGTGTGACTAAACACACGTCAGCACATGTCCACTGATCCTCTCAACGTTTCCAGCTAAGCATGCCAGTAAACTCCTCCCCAGCAGCAGTTGATCATTATCATCCCTTTTGAGGTATTTTCACTGCTGCTGGCCGTCTAATACTTGTTAATTATCACCTATTTTTAAAAATAACAGGCTGGGTGTTTATTTATCTACAGGTTGAAGTTTGTGTATCAGTGGAATGCATTTAGGAAAAACATACAATAAACCAATTAGGAATAAATATAATCTCAGTCTTTTGACTTAACATCTGAGCCAATTAACAATTTTTTTGTGAGCTTTGTGATAAATTTAAGCTAAACAGCCTTGTGTCTTTGTTTGCTTAGGAGTATAGAAGCATTTGTTTTGGAGTTTAAAATTCATAAGAGTGAATATTTCATAGTATATTTTAAGGTAATGCTTTTTTTTTTTCTTTATGCAGAATCAAGAGGAATGAATCATGCAGTTCTCTCAGCAACTTCGTCCACTACGACTTCCTGCAGCAGAAACTGAAGGGTTTAGAAGAGGAGAACCGCAAACTGAGATTAGAGGTAAACAATTTCCTCAGATTGAAATGAAAGAAAAAATTTGTTGTTTTGTATAAAATACGCTAAAATAAGACTCTTAAAAAACATTTTCATTCTTTATGGTTTCATTTGTGCTTCTATTTGATAGTAGGAAGTAGAGTACGCTGTCTGTTTGTACTCACACAATGCAAACATTTAACATTGATGTCGTTTCTTCAGGCCACGGAGCTCTCAACAGAGACGTCTAACTATGAGGAGCAAGAACAGGAGTTGATGATGGTGTGTGTGGAAGAGCTCTGTAAGTGTTATGTTTGTTTTTTTTAAATGAATACAGGGTAACTGTAACTCAGGTGCAGGTGCATTTATGGGACTTGTGTGTTTCAGCGTCTGTCAATAAGCAGGTGGTCGATCTGTCAGAGGAGCTGGCACGGAAGGTTGAGGATTCTCTCCGACAGCAGGAGGAGATCAGCTCACTGCTCGCTCAGATTGTTGACCTACAGGCTCGTTGCAAAGGGGTGAGGAAATCACACACATATACACACAAGTTCTGTTATATTTTACATCAAATACTTGTCTTAAAACTAATAATAACTCTTTCCTCTTTTTAGCTGACCCATGAGAACGAGGAAGTGAACCAACAGCTGAGTGCCTCCCGTGAGAGCCAGCTGAAGCTGAAATCAGAGGCAAGACACTCTCAGCACTATATTTGGAGTTGGATTAGGATGTTTTCACATTCATACTTGAGCTCAGTTTTGTTTTTGTTTCTGCATGGCTGAATAGCTGTCATGGTGGCGACACAGAAGGAAGGATTGTGGTGTTTACAGACACCTATTTTTAACCTTAGAAAATGTGCAGTTAAGATTTTAAGAGTCTCCACATGACTTCCAATAAATGTCTGTATCCTGACACCTACCTGTGCATAGGCTTAACTCAGCATCACATATTCAACTCCTCCTGTATGCGACAGTGTTTTGTTCTTGCTCTGCAGTTTGACTCATTTACCTCCCCCTGTCTGCAGCTCAAGGATTTGCAGGACAAGTATTCCCAGTGTGAAGACATGCTGCAGGAGGCCAGAGAGGACATTAAAAATCTGCGAAACAAGAGCCTGCCCAACAGCACGGTGCAGCGGTACACTTCACTGGCCTCCGTCCTTCCCATGGACTCTCTGGCAGCAGAAATAGAAGGCACCTTCCGCAAAGGCCTGGACACCCCAGCTCCCTCCGAATACAAGTGAGTCTGTCCCCTGTAACAGTAAATATTACCACGTTGTAACTGTGTGGTTTATGTGCAGGTCTTAATGTGTCACTTTTTCATCTTTACAGAGTCCTCCGATTTTTTGCTTGTAGATTGTTTAGTTTACAGTGTAAAAGCTTGGAAGCAATCGTGTGTTTGAATTTCTATTAACGATTTCTGTAGCTACATGAAGTTTATCGTTCAGAAAACTAAGGAGACTGGATTGAACTTGCTCAGCACCAGAACATTAACTTTATGCATTAAGTGCTTACATGTTCTGGTAGTTCCACTTCCTGCCTTTATGACGCCTGAAACTAAGACACAGTCCTCTAGAGTCTCTTTAATTCTAATAGCTAATAGATAGGCAGGTCAACCTTCATTAAACACATGCATTTCTGACAACTCATTTTATTCTGTGAAGGGTTGAAAAGGAAATAGTTGTCATATTTTAGCCTAGACATGTATTTGTGACAAACTCTTGAAAGCAACAAAACGGGTTATGCTGCAGGCAAGGTGTAAAAAAATTCCTGGAGGTGTTTAGATACTTTTTTCCCCGGCGGTGAAAAACCAGCACCTGGCAACAATCCAAGCTGAATGTAGCTTTAGGGGATGACTCTTTGACGTGATTTGTTTAGCTGATGTAAATATCCACAGCAATTCGCTGTGAAAAAAATAACATAAAATGCTGAGGTTGAATACAAATTGTGCGCCATAACAATATAAACACTGTCATCCAACATAAACACGCAATTTTCACAATTAAGAACTGTCTTTGTAGTTCTATTTCTCCACATACTAATCTGGATTTAGTGGCATTTGAGCCAAAATCTGACAACGGTTTTGTGTTTTTTTTGTTGGCCAGCAACTGCCAATTAAACTTGAGTAAGTTCATCCATCAGTAGTGGTTGGATGGAGGCCTGTAAAGTCAAACTAATGGACTCTAAAACTTTATTGTGCTACAACTTTAAAACATCATGGCTATTCAGTTTGAGGGAGTTTGTGACCCACCGAACTGATATTGGAAGATGCCCCTGTTGAGTTATTTGGGTTTTGAACTTAAGTTGTCTGCCTGAACTTGACTCGCCATTGAAGACAACAGAGGAGGCTGGTCACCTCCACTCACTTTCCATTTTTATTTAATCTTTTCAGAAAGGAATCAAGCTGAGTGTTTGCTAGTTGATAACCTTAGAATAAAAAACACAAACCCATATTATTCAATAAATCCATCAACAATAATTTAAATTTTCCATTTTAATAATTCCAAATTAAAATGATTGGCAAACACTTCATATACTTCGTATTACTTAATTAAATAAACCAAGTCCAGAAACCAACATCCTAACACAACATGAATTAAATAACAAACTCCAATTTTATCCTTTAAAGTCACTTCAAACTGTCTATACATACCAGTAGCGTCTCTGCAGTCATCAGTACAATGAAGATTTCTGACCTTCCTCCCTGCACTGGCATGAACGGCAAACAAAAGAGAACACACCTTCCCAGGACCCACTAATGAAGCCTTCTTCTCCCTTCAGGCCTGAGCTGACATACATATCAACTCAAAATGGCAGCACTGCCCCCTTGCTGCTAGTAAAATAAAGAACCAGGTGAAAAATTAAATAAACAAATAAACACATATATACACAGCAACATAACTTAATTCATAACTTAACAGCCCCTGAACTAAAAGTTTTTATAGCAGCAAACTTTTGTAAAAAGTTTAAATGTAGGGATTTAATTGGTGCAAAGTAATCAATAAGTGGGACTAAAGTGCTGTGGAGTTGACTGGTCTACATAAACAGTTGTATTGATGCAAAAGAACTGAAACACATTTGGACTGATAAAATTTGGTTTTGACAGTTTGTGAGTTTCAACTGCAACATCCTGCTTGACTGTCAAACATACAGCATTTTTGGTGCATCCACAGCTTGTAGAAAACAGTATTAGCAGTATGTATAATGAACTGTGATTGAGATGACACTAAAACCTTGTTTGTCCTGGCAGGAACCACCCGTGGCGAGTGTTTGAAACAGTGAAGGTGGTGAACAAGGCTGGGAGGTTGCGGTCACGGTGCCACTCTCCAGGGCTGCCAGGCTCCAGCCCAGTGTCTGCACGTTCCAGCTGTACCAGCACCCCCAGAACCAGCTACTATGGCTCTGATAATGCCAGCCTTACCTTGGAGGACAAGCCCAGCTCCAATCATGCACAAAAAGAAGACAACAGGTGACCTTCTATTATTCGATCAAGTGGAAAATTCCAATAATAACAATAATAATAGTAGTAATAATATAAAATAATTTTTTAGAAGCCTTAGGATCTCCACATTAAAACTACATCATTGGGTCTTCCCTTTGTAGTGTTAGTGGGCCAAAACGTCTTGGTCAGCCAGGCACACCGGGAGGCCAAGACCTCGAGGCTGCCCTGCGCAACCTCTCTGCCCGCCAGCAGAACCACTCCTCTGAGCGGCCTTTCTTTGATGTGGAGCGCGAACGTAAACTCCGTGCCTTGGCAGCAGACTGCGAGGAGGGCGAGGGCTCCAGTGGCTTCCTGACACCAAACGACAGCCTGGTCTCCAGCCCAGCAGCATCGACGGGCACCAACTACTCCAATGGCAGCTCACGACACTCCTGTGGCTCCTCGAGTGGATCCAGGTCCTACCTGCCCGACCGTCTGCAGATTGTCAAGCCTCTGGAAGGTAAAAACTCCTGCTTTATGTTGTGTTCTGCCAATATTTTGGAATCTACTCCAGATTTTGTAGCGTAATGAAGAATTGAACCAAGACAAAGAAAGCTGATCATTGTTGAAATTAGCCTCTAATTCAGATGGAAAGCTGCCACGCTCTTAAAAAGGATGTTTTCACTGGAAAAGAAAAAATTAAACACTCGCATAGCAAAGACAGGAAAACATTATTTTTTTACTTAATTGTAAAAGTAAAACTAGCAAATAATTTGCAACTACATTTGACATTAACATCCATCAATGAATACATACTTAATCATAGTCCCCACTGGTTATTGTAGTTTAGCTCAAATTGTTTTAGTTCTAGGTCTGTGGAGAATTAAATACATTTAGCTTCTTTTAGGATTTGTGTTCACACACTTAGCATTTTGGTAAGAAATTTCTTCTAATATTTTAAAAAAAAAATTTTTTAGCTTTTTTGGCAAGACTGACGAAGAATGTGTAAAATAATACCATAATACAAACATCGATAAAGTATGAAATTCAAATGTAATGACAAAAATACAACCTGTGGTAAATTTTTTCTAGGTATTTTTGATTTATTGGAATTTAATTACCCCATACTTCAGCTTCAGTCCCCTCTGGCTCTTTACCATCAGGCTCAGTGACTCTGCACCAGTGGCAGCAGCTGGCCAGACCAAACCTGGGAGGCATCCTGCACCCACGGCCGGGCGTCCTGACGAAAGACTTCAGGGAGCTCGAGGTCGACATACAGCACGTCTACAGCCTGAACGACCTGGAGGAGGATGAACCGGATCTGTCACAGCTTTCTGGAGCTCATGGAATGGGTATGACATGATAACACACTGTACTCACAGTTTCACTCCCTTTGTCGTTTCTATTTACTTCATCACATTCCACGTTTATTAGTGTCTCCCCTCATTGTTCAACGTGTTTGTGCCATTTGCTGTGTAGAATTAGTGTTGTTTCCATCTGCATTGGCTCCTTTAGTGCCTCATTAGATGTGTGTGTTTTCCTTCATGTGTAGTTTAATGCATCTTTTACCTTCATGACCTCACAGTCTCTCCGTCGGCTCACAACCTCCCTCAGACCTCTCCCACACATACCATTACCACCTGCCAAGTCCTTCAACCCTCCCTTCTCATCCCCTCCTTCTCCACTAGGTAAGAATTCATATGCTGAAAGCATCTGCCTTTGTTTTTTTAATGTATTTTTTCATGTGTATTTTGTGTTGTCCTTGTATTTTTTTCACAGCAGTGCCAAGTGAATTTCCATCTTGGATAATGTTTAATTTGACTTTGCACTAATGTGATTGACCTGAGTTACTGCTTCAAGGAGTTGATTAACCCAAAGCTTTTCTTTACAGTGTAACTTTCATTAAGTGAGTGTGCATATTCCAGATTGCTTCTTCTTAATCCTGCTACCTTTCTTCCTCCTAACTTCTGCTGTTTACACCCTCAGTGGCAGAAAACATCTGTCGAGGCTCTTTCTCCCACTCTAGAAGGAGCCTTCAGGGCAAAGTAAGAGCACAGTGTTACAGATGCTCTCTGAATGCCTAAATAATGTCTTGAATATTAACAACAGAAACACAGTACCATGTTTGTTTAGCTAAATGACGTCTTGCTTGAGCTTCCTGCCTGAAAATAATTCTTTCAATAAAGTATGAGATTGAATTGTTGAATTTGGTTTTAAACACCATTTATTGAATTGTTTCTAAAAGTGTAAGGTAGTTGTTTGCTGTTTGTTGTACTTGTCAAAAATTCTGAACTACCATATAAACAAAAATGAATGACCTTATTACTTAAAAAAATAGTTAGATGTACTTGTATTGACGTACAATTACGTTTTAATGTGCTATAAGCTATTTATCAAGTGTCAATACATTGCTTATAAATGCTAAACACAGGGAAAGGTTAAATATTAGTTGCTGCTTTATAAAGAAAGCCATGCACTGTGCTTCTGGTATATATAAGTCTTCACCTTCTTCACCTACTAACTGTTTACTAAAAGCATTTAAGCTGTTATATCGACCCTCACTTGTTTGTGCTCCCCACATTCTTTATTTGTTAAGGCCTATTCATGCTGTCGGCAATGGTACGCTTGTTAAGCTGCACACACGGACACAGATAGCATGAGTTGGCCTTTACACTACACATTTTTATGTCCCTTTTTTAGGTTTTCATCTCAGCAAACCACCAGGTCTTGTTTCATCAGCACTGACACGCTAACATGTTTATTCATCTCATAGTGAAGACAACCTGAACTAACCAAAACTTTTAACACTGCCTTGTTTTTTAAATTATGTGTGAAAGTATGTGTGTGTAAATACAGCCATTGGGTGTTTTTTTTTTTTTTTTTGCTCTGATTAAATAATTTTTCTTTTTTTTTTTTTGTCAGCAGCCTTCACTCTTTCGGCCTGCCATCTTGTTGGAACTGTGAGCACGTGAACGTTTCACCTACTTCCCACCAGCAGCACTTTGGCCGGGGAGGTCGGACCACCACCACCACCACAAATTTAACCCCTTCATCACTGGGACTCCTGCAGCTGCTGCAAGAACGCGGCATCTCAGCCTCTCCTCATCCCCACCACAACCTGCACTACAGCCACAGTGTGACACCCCCATGTTCCACAGTAAAAGACAAAGGTGGAACGGTCTCGGACAAAGAGGAAGGAAGGATCGTTTTCAGTTTGAACTTGGTGGAGAAGCTTCAGAGTCTTGGGCTGCACAGAGTGGCAGCCTGGGGGATGATGGGCCGCGGTGGCAACGACAGAGAAGCAATCAAACATCCTCCTAAAGTGTGATGTGCTCACTGTTTATTCACCCCAGTGACTTTACATTAAGCCATGTGCAGTTCAGGGCCCACCACAGCACCCGTGTCTTGAAAACAAAAGCCACAGAATGTGTTAGAGCCATACTTTTGAGTTGTTGGTAGTGTACAGTACTATCCTTTTTCTATGAACTCATGCACATTCACTGTTAGTTTGCGTGTGAGACATCGTCATCTCAGGACGGCAACCTGATCACCAATCTGTTTGACTCACACATTGCTTCTTTTTACACACAAGAAAAGGAACATCAAGAAGGGAAAAAAAAACTTTTTATACTGCGTTTTGTGGATTTCATTTTACAGCTTTCCTCATCACTGGTTTTAAAAACCTCCTCACTTGTTATTTTTTTAGTTTCCAAAGTGAAACAGCCACTATGTGTAAATAGCATCAGTGTTGTTTAAAGTATATACATATATATATATAAAATAAATTGTGTGCAGTAAATTACAGTTAGTTGAAACAACAAACCAAACCAATTCTACCACACTGAGGAAAATGCACTTAAATACACTTCAGGTCTTCCTGCTTATACACTGCTACATTGAGAAAAGCATGTTGTATATACGGTAGTCAAACATACTGATAAAGAAGCACTGCAAAGACTTCTGATACAGCGACCAAGCTGAATAATGATAATAATGTTCCTTTGGCTGTCTGCTCTGCTGTATGTCACATAGCGCTTGCAGCATCACCTCTGAGCTGTTGAAAGTTCTGAATTTGTAAACTTTACTCTGAGCCAAACCCTTCACCAAAACCAAATCAGGTTTGCTTGTGCTGCATCGAAGACAGTAAATGGGATGTTTTTGTAGCAACATATGTGCTAACTCACTGTCTGACTGAATATCTTTGTTTGGACAAATCTGTATATCATAGCATCAGGAATTTTTACACCTGCTGGGATTTAAATTTGAGCAAAAATAATCGTGCTGGGCATTTAAAATGATTTCTCGTATTTATTAAATACAAGTAGAGGAAATGTCAACTATTTAAGCAGCATGTTTCTTTCTGAACGATCGACTGTAGCAAAAATACAAAAAGGCATAGGATACTGTGGATTTAAAAGGGAAGAAATCATAAACACAGGTTATAATAATTTGTGTTAAATTGACTTAAATCAACCAAACCACTGTTTCTCTGCACTACTGTTTGCTGTAGTTTGTGTTAGCATCACAGCTGTATATGTCAGTGTGTATAAATTGTACCACCTGTGAATAAAACTTTCCATCCAGAACAGGTTTGAATGGCTGTAAATCTCCGTCATCATCACCGCACTGAAATCAACAGACATCCACGCTGTGGTGATGATTCTGCAAAATAGTTTATTTTCAAACTTGCAGGTGAAGTAAGACATTGAGTTTTTATAAAATCTGGATAAAAAAAGCAGGAAATGTGAGCTCCCATGCTGCTGTTGTCGTGGTTTTGCTTCATTCTGCATCCCGGCGTCCGAAGTCCACCCAACCCTGGTAGTCCCGATCCGTCATGCATTCAGAGTTCATCATCTCTGTGAACAAACCATTCCTACATGAATCACACACACAAGGCTTCAGTGCACAGGTCAGGGAATTTCCTTGGAAATCAATTTTTTAAAATGTATTTATTTGCTTTTTTGTGGCAGCAGCAGCAGCAACAGACAGAAACAAAACACCAAAACACTTTCACGCCCAGTCATACCTGAGATTGCTTGCATTATTTGTTTGGTCATAATCTCGCGTTCATCTTCCGACAGGTGCGGCCGTCTCTCCACCCGAGTCTGAGGCGCCGGCTTTGAGCCTCTGATCATCTCCCGCCTGTTTAGAAGTCGCTGTAGGATTTTCGCCTCCTTTGCTTCTCCGGATGCAGAGGGTTCAGGTGAGGAGGCTGAACCAGACACCAGCAGTGCAGCCAGCAGTGCAAAAACAAGAATACGTTTCCCTGACATGTCTGTGTGCAAAAAGAAGGAACAATTTCTGTTAAAACCACACGCATAATCCCTCACAGCTGCTCCAAATGACAAAGTTACTGTACCTGTGTAGATGAAGTCTGCGATGAGTTATGCCTTCAGTGCAACTCTGGTGACTCTGAGCAGGTCTGTCTCTTTATACCATGAGTTTGTTATACGTGATATGCCCTAAAATCAAAGACTGATAACAGTACAGAGCACTGGATTGATTGGGAGACGGATACATCGGAAGGATGTGCGTAAAAGGAAACGATACACCTCTACACCGACAAGTCCATTATTGTGATTTACACTTACGTAGAAAGGCACTGCAATGACAATAAAACAAGTCAATGTGTTTACATAAGAAATCCAATACTCATTTAGGGCCTGTTGTAACCAACACAAAGAAGCTTGTGTGCAATGAGGCCACTTTGGGATTCAACTATTCCAAATACACAACATAGACATAATAAAAATGTACCTTTACTTGTAGCAAACATCCTTAGCTTTAAGACAATATGAGTTAATGGTTTTTCACCTGTCCTTAAAAGAAAGTAGAGCTTGAATCTTGATAAATCTAATGTGAAATCTGCACACTTTAATCCCTAGTTCATGGTCATTAAACTGTGCTCTGACCTGTACTTTCCAGGTGATGTAAACACAAAACCCTTTTAGCAAAAACACACCAGAGCTCGGATGACATTAGCACTGTTTACATAGCAGCTCTATAGATCTTTTTTTTTCTCTCAAGTGGCCCAGTTCCTCAGCATCCACAGACGATCTGTTGCTGCTAGTAAGGCAGAAACACCACAAATATTTTCAACCTGGCAGAGAAAGTGTTGTCTGTCAGCAGTGAGCAATTGTGTACCAAGTACCAGTGATGTTGACACAATAGAGAGCAGAAAGTGCAGACGCTCCCTCAGGTTGTCATCAAAAATCTGAGCAGCTGAGAAATGTTTGCTGAAATGTTACATGTCAACTTTTGTTCATTACATTTAACGATACTGTGGTGCAAAGATAATCACAGATCTGACCGTGATTTGACATTTTGAGCGGCACACCCACTGGAAAAATCTGATAGAGGACCCAGATGTCGCATTCTGCCGGCAGCTTTCTCCTTTAACCTGTTGCTCAGGCTACCTTTGTACACACCCATCTAATCAGACAGAGCTGTATCATGCATAAGTGGACAACCGCAAAAAATGGTTTCTTGTTTCCCACTGAATTGCAGAAAGACACTTGATGAGACAGCTTTTCTATCAGTACTGGATTATGGGGACATTTTGTACTTGCCACTTTTAATATTTTACCTTTTGATATTTTAGTGAGGCTGCAAGGTGACGCAGTTGGTTGTACTATTTCCTTGCAGCAAAAAGGTTGCCGGTTCGCGTCTGGGTTCTCCGGCTTCCTTCCACAAATCCAAAAACATGTTGAGGTTAATTGGTGATTCTAAATTGTCGTAAGGTGTGAATGTAAGTATGCTTGGTTGTCTGTCTCCAAGTGTAGCCCTGCGATAGACTGGTGACCTGTCCAGGGTGTCCTGCTTTCGCCCTAAGTTGGCTGGGATAGACTCCAGCCCCCCTGCGACCCTAGTGAGGATTAAGCGGTGTATAGATAATGGATGGATGGATATTTTATTTTAGATTTACATTTTATTCATTTATTATTATCCATGCTTCTTATTTGTGTGCCTATTTCTTTTATTTTTTTTACTCTGCTACACTCTAAATGGTCTCAATGTATTCCAAATTTAGGAAAACGAATAAATGAACCTTTGTGCTAACTTACAGAATTCCTGAACAGCTGGTGAAAGTTTATATAAATTAATAGTAAACTTTATCATCAGTGCAGCTTAAATTCCTGGTCTAACTGTAAAGATTTAGTCTAAATAATACCTCTGAAAGGTCCTTATTATCATCAGTGTTGAAGGCGCTGGTTTGACTTTTTTTTTATTAATGTCCTAAAACAGGATTTTCTGAGCATCTTCTAGCTAAAAAAGGATCTTCGCAGCTTCAACACTGTGTCTTCATCACAGTCAAAGTGGATGAAAACATTAAGCAAGTCACCTTAAACTAGATATTTCATAGGAAAATCAGTTGAAAAAGGTTTCTGTGGATATGTCCAAAGTTGAGAGTTGCTGAAGTCATTTTATTAGTATGATTTAGAGAAAATATAAAACAGTGCTTCTGTTTTAAGGCAGAAAAAGAAGGGAAAGAGTTGAATGTGATGATACTGATGATAATCCCATCATGTTTAAGCTTCACATTCAAACAAAACTAAAAATCCCTTAGATTAGAAACACAAATTCTAACCTTGTAGAATGGAGTTTGTCTGCAACACGTATGTAAGTGAAAGTCACTGCGATGCAACTATAGCGTGCAAAGCGTTATCTATCAATTTCCTTGACTGGGTGTGTTCCACTGCAGATTTTTTAGATTCTTCTGTCACTCACTTTACTTTTAACCTGACCACATGTGAGATAAAGCTCCTTAGAAAAGGCGAGCCTGCGGTTTGGACAAACACAGCTCCTAAATGATCAACAGAACAAGCATTGGCTCCCATGGGTTCGCCAGAGTAGATAGAAATATCAAATAACTTTTCTAAAGAAAGGGTTACAGAGAACTGGTTTGCTGTGGTTAAAAACAAATCTTGTTCTTCCAGATTCTCTTAACGTCTATGCATTATGCAAAGTAGAGTTCTAGCTGTTCGTACACGTATAGATGTGTGGGACGACTTTGGTGCAGTTTGAACATGACAGTGATGATGAAGGACAGCAGTACAAACAAATGTAGAGAGAGTAGCTGCTGTGCATTTGTTTGCTGTTGTTGATGCACATGAAGGTACAACAGTGAAACCACACACACACACACACACACACACACACACACACACACACACACACACACACAAAACAATGCCAAAACCACTGCTTTAATCCTATCCGCTGCCACCAGGTGAACAGGTTGATCTCACTTCACACTGCAAAGCACTTTGATTTATGAGTTCAACAAAAGCCACTAAAATGTTACATAATTAATTATTTTTAGGTCAAACTTAGATTAGATTCTAACAAAAACATTCTAACTTTACTGTCATAGCACAGAATATAAGTACAGTGATGACAAAATGCAGTGTAAATTAGTTAACAGTTCGATAACGATCTATAAATTAGTTTATATAGTGACTTTTGTTGGACTTAGTAGGTGCTTTGTAGAATGAAACAAGGTTAAATACGAATATATGTGGTTTAAAGTAATACCTCGCAGAATATTTTATTGTATGCCACCCACATAAGTTGCATTCTTTGGTTCTGGGTGCAGGAATAAAGTTGTGTACACTTGTATTGTGTAAATATTTGTGTTATTTAGGAGTTTAACAAAAGCCACTATAAGGTTGCATAATCAGTCATTTTTAAAATTCAGTTTAGATTAGATTTATCTTTAACTTTAAACTTTTTGTCGCTGCAGAGAGTAGAAGTACAAAGACAACAAACTGTAGTATAAAGTGTCAAAAGTACTGTAGATTAAATGAAAATTATGAATTACTACATATAATGGCTCTTGTTAGGGTTAGGCTAGGTTAAATATACACTTGGATCAAAATAATACCTTAGTTAATGTTTTGTTTTACATCATCACATGGGTTTCATCCTCTGGTTCTGGATGCAGAATTAAAGGTATGTGTGAATGTGTGCATGAGAGAAAGAACCTACTGAGTTTTATTTAAGAGTCTAACAAAAGCCACTCTGAGGTTGCACAACTAGTCATTTTTTAAAGATTTAGATTAGATTAGATTTAACTTCACTGAATATAATCTAACTTTGATGCACAGAGTACAAGTACTAAGACAAGGAAAGGCAGCATCAGCAGCAATAATACTGTATAAATGACTTTATATATATATATGTATATAACATAAAACTAATGTAACAGTACTTAAACAAGTCTGTGACACCAAAATATGCAAAGCTGCTGGTTATTCTAGACCAAGCACTTGCAACAGTAACCCCTGCAGTGAAATGTTCTTTTCCATATTTTTTCTTTAAAGCATCTCTGCCATTTAAACCTGCTCCTCTTTCAGCAGGATGTGAATGAGGTGACAAGTTAGAAAACAATTACCTGTCTGTGCGGATGGATATCAGTCTGCATATCAGTTTTAAGCTGCCCAACTGGATTTTCGAGCCTTCTTTTCTACCGAGCGTCACTAATGCGTCTGTACACACCTAATGACTTTTTAAAACAAATTATTATCTGCATTCCGAGCGTTGCTGTGACCCGGGACCTGACGCCGCCTGCCTCCTATAAAACAGCCGAAGGTGTAAAGCTCCATCACTCCTCAGAGACTCTCCAAGCCTGCCTCGCCATGGCCTTCACCCAGCAGAGCATCTCCAGCGCCCGCAGCATCTCCAGCGCCAGCCTGGCCGGAGGATGGATGCAGCAGGGCCGCATGTCCACCGGGCCCTTCGCCATCCAGCGGGCGGCCAGCGTGTACGGTGGAGGCGACAGCTACGGAGTGCGCATCTCCAAGTCCACCTCCGCCTTCTCTGCAGATTCGCTGAGCGCCTTCGGAGGCTCCTTCGGAAGCTCCAGCGGAGGCTCCGCGGTGATCGGAGATGAGAAGTTGACCATGCAGAACCTCAACGACCGCCTGGCCTCCTACCTGGGGAAGGTAAGTCAAGAGTCTGCACACTTGTACTTGGAGCATTCACACCTCCCTGCACTCCTCTGAATGCATGCATCTACCACTGCTGCAGTCTTTATATTGTAAGAAATATGCAAAAAGTTGGTTTTGAACTACCCACATGCATGTGCAAACACGTACACAACTTTAATTCTGCACCTGAAAACAAAGGATGCAACACCTGTTGGTGACTTACAACAAAATATTCCTCAAGCTGTTACTTTAAACCAAATATAAATACACACACACATCACTTTTTTGTACTAATTCAACTCACTAGGAACTTGACCCTTTACATTGTTCCATGTTTTTGTCCAGTAATTATGTTTTGCACTTTAATTTGCTTTAATTAGGTGTGGTGCCTCCTTAACTATAACTGGTTTAGTGCAGAAGATATGCATATAAAGGTGGACAGAGCATGAATAGTGCATTAACTGGTACTTGTGCACTTCAGAATTAAATATTTGCACTTATATACTTTATATTTTTACATTTAGTCACTAGTTACTGAAAATTCAGAATTAAAAACCTATATGAACTCATAAAATACAACATAATTGTGGCTATAAAGGTGGACAGAGCATAAATGGTGTGTTAACTGTTTTATATTCATTAGTTACAGAAGAAACACACAAAATACAAAACATTACTATATCGTAACTCAAACAACAAAACACACTTTAAATTAGCTCCATTCTGACCACTTATAAAGGTCAATGAAACTTGAAATATCAGTTATAATCCATTTATATAAAGGACATTCTGCCACATTTTGATATTTTAAAGTGCATTTTGCTGATTTTCTGGAGTGAAATTTTCAATGTAGGACTTTTTTTTTTTTTTTGCAGTTTTACTTGAGTAAAGGATCCAAATACTTCCTCAAACATTGACAGAAGAGATTAAAGAGCAGCTTTTTTGCATGCAGCTCCTTGCATGCAACATTTCACTGTCACGCTAAGTAAAGCATTGCCTTTTTATGAAGCAGTGAGAAAAAGACAAAAAGCCTCAGACATTGACTGGATGTTCTTTTTGCCTGCAGGTGCGCTCTCTGGAGTCAGCCAATAGGAAGCTGGAGTTGCAGATCAAAGAGTTCTATGAAAAGCGAGCTCCTTCTGTTGCCAGCGACCACGCAGGGTACTTTGCCACCATCGCTGGGCTGAGAGAGCAGGTACTTTTTGTTTTACATTTTACACATCAGATCTGCACATTAAAATGACGAGAAACTATTTTACAGTGCAATAAACAAGAAACACAGAATGCATATGCGCTGCGTGCCAAAGAAAGACTGACCAAAGCAAGAAACCAAACACTTCTGCTCACCGATTTAAAATGTCGACACGTGACCTGTTGAGAAAGAAAGACGAAGGATCTCTTTAGCTGTTCCAAACAAAACAAAATGTCCACTGTGGTTAAACAGATATCTTTGGGATTATTCACTCATTCATCGCTAATGTTTTTGTTTTTGACATATTTACAGCTTCGGTGCAGTCTGAGCTGAGTCACATTTGTCACTGTGACAATGTGTTGTTTGAAATGCAAAAGCACATCAAGTGCATGTAACACGACAGCTGTGACAAGGACGATGATTGATAAGAGAACAGCTTTTTTTTTTTTTTTGACTCCTGTGCTCCCAGACAGGTTGATCAACTGAACTGCTATGAACAACATCCAAAGGAAACGGAACTGCTGCAGCTTTGGAACATAAATAAGGATTTGAATCCTGAAAATTTATTAAAAAAAAAAAAAAAAAAGTAGCCTGTACATAATATAGAATTAACGTTATTTCGTTGCTCCCCACTTAGATTGCAAGAAGACATTCTGCAAATCAAAGCATCATCCTGCAGATTGATAACGCTCAACTGGCTGCAGAAGACTTTAGAGTCAAGTAGGTTTGCATTCCTGTGTTGCTTCATGTTGTAATTCATGTGCACTCTGTAATTAAGTCATTATATGCTGTACATCAACAAGTGTAGCATGTAAATTTGAAAAACAAACAAACAACATTTTTATTTTGGCTGGAGTTACATTACAGATACTGGAAGAGCAGATGAACCTGAAAATGTTATTTTATTACAACTTATGATGACACAGCAAGTAAATGTTAATGAAGCATGTCTAACTTCCTGTATTCCTCTGTAGATATGAGGTGGAGATGAACATGCGCTCGACGGTGGAGGCCGACGTGGCTCGTCTTCGAGGAGTCCGGGACAGTCTCACGCTTGGCATCGGTGACATGGAAATGAGGCTGGAAAGCCTGAAGGAGGAGCTAGTGTACATGAAGAAGAACCACGAGGAGGTGAGAAACATTTACTGTCACACAAGCACATTGACTGAGCTGGTGTTTGCTCTGTTTCCCAGTGCAATGATGCCATCTGTTGGTGGTGGAGGTTAAGACGCGTCCTTTGTGCGCATTTGCAGGAGATGCGTCAGATGAGGGTCCAGCAGAGCGGCAACGTGAATGTAGAGGTGGACAGTGCACAGTCCGTGGATCTGTCGAAGGTGCTGGAGGAAATGAGGGAGCAGTATGAATCTGTGGCAGTGAAGAACAAGCTGGAGCTGGAGAAGTGGTTCCAAGCTAGGGTGAGATGCCTGACATTATCAAAACAACTCTGGATGTGAAAAGTGTGATGATAAAAGATAACACATTTTTCACATTTGTGTGCAAAGGTGGATTCTCTCCAGACGCAAATCCTAACTCAGACGACGACCGTGAAGGAGTCTTCCTCACAGCTGTCAGAACTAAAGAGAAGCTACCAGACTTTAGAGATTTCTCGGCAAAGCCTCTACACAGAGGTGAGCCATGGAGGAGGCAACAGAATGCAAAGGCACACTTACTTACTTACTTACTTGTACTTAAAAATCGGATTAAAGTGTTGGTTTGCAGGTCTTAAAACAACACTCACAAGCTCATACAATCATCCACAAATGTATTCATACCCTTCCATTAAAGAAAAGGCAAAATTTCACAACAGTCACTCAAATAACTAAGAACTGAAACAAGTAATGATAAATAAAAGTTTGCTAAATTATAATTTAGTGAAATAAGAAAGACTTTTGATTTGTGGTTGAAAAGAATAATTAAAAAAACAAACAAAACTGTCCTGGACAAATGAGAGCACTTTGCTGATGAGCTGTGGGCCAAAATCAAAATACCTATCAACAGGTGCAGAAGTCTGATTGAGAGTTACAGAAAACACTTGATTGCAGTGATTGGCTCAAAGGGTTGTTCAACAAAATATTACTTTATGGGTCCCATCATGCTTGTTTGCTTGTTTTTTTGTTTGTTTTTTAAAAATATTTTTGTTGAACCACAATTCAAAAGCAATGTCATGATTTTCATAAAATCTTTATTTATTATTACTTTTGTCAATTTCAACGTATTTCAGTGACAGCTGTTTTTTTCCTTCTTAATCGGAAGGTGTTATGTAATATTTCCATCGGTTCATACTGTTCATTACAATCTATTCTTAGTACACTTTCCATCTTGGTGACAGAGGATAAAATTCACTTTCTTTGTCCTGCAAAACCAAATACAGACGTTTATCTGAAGTTTAATCTACACTGTAAGATTTGAAAAGTTGATTTTACTTAAATGAATCTAGGAAACCGGTTGCACTCAAAAAAGGTAAGTGAATATAACCGTTAGTTTTAAATGCAGTTTACTTCATATCTACTTGTAAAGTTTACTTAAAATTTAGCTGTATTTACTTAATTTTGTGAAATTAAAAATAGCAAGTATAATGAATTTGATCTTTGTGTTAGAGTGCAGTGCATGTAAAGTTGTGTTAGAAACTTAAATTGTAATAATAATTGATCAGATTTATATACTGCTTTTCTAGACACTCAAAGTCACTTTACACTGTCAATTATTCATTCACACATTCATCCCAGGAGTGGTAAGCTACACATTCACATCAGGCAAGGTGGGTAAAGTGTCTTGCCCAAGGACACAACAGCCATGACACAGGTGACATGACGGAATCGAACCACCAACCTTCCAATTACTGACCAACTGACTCTACCACTTGAGCCACAGCTGCCCTGTAAAGTTTCTGGAAACTTCTCCTGCACTTCTCTACTGCACATGCGCACTGCTGAGCTCTGTGTTAAGTCCAGGAACAGAATGTTTCAAGTTCAGTTTACTCAAGTGTACTTAGTTTTATAACTCTTGAAGGAAAAATGAGGACATACTCACAGTTCATGAGTTAAATCAACAGGACAATGAGATATAAGTAAAGTACACTAATGTGATTCAAGTAAGCATCGGTATTACCTTTTAGAGTGTAGAGTAATTCAGCTACATACATTTGAACTGGAACCATTTCAGAATAATGACACAGAAAGCTCCACCCTAAAAATTAAAAGGATGGGTTCCTCAGATTTGCTACATATGAAACCCAGGAAGTCTAAATCTGTGTTTTTTAAGACTGTCATAGGTGCACTTCAGTTTTAAGATGGAAATGCTCAGACGTGGTGTTATTTCACTCACAGTGCATCATCTAGCATAAAAAAAACACCATGTGGGTGTGTTAACAAGGCCTAAAAGTTAACTTTCATCAGAGTTGGCTTTTTGAAACGTACTAGAGTTTGTGTTTAAAGGTGTTTATCGGCAACAAAATAATGAACAACAAGTTATAACACTCACTGACAGGATTTTGCAACTAAGGAAATCACATTTTAACTCCACAATTGTGAGGACGACAGCAGAAATATGACTTTACAAAGAAATTTACAAGGAATGTGTGCACGGCTTTCATGCAGGGTGACATAATGTTGTGTGCAGCAGAAGTTGAGCCTGAGTCAACTTTTATGTCAACTTCTGACACGGTTTGGAAAGACCCTCCATCACTGACATTCGAAACATATTAGGAAGGAATGTGTAGGGGTTTGCATGAAATCATGGAATAATTCTCAAAAATGTAAACACTTAGAAAATAATTGTGAGCCTTTAAGTTTGTGTTTTGCAAATGCACAACAACACTTAAGAATAATAGCCTTTAATGCACCTCTGATCACTCTCACATGAAGCTCTCCTAACATCACTCCTGCAGATTCAGTTGCTGCAGCAGAATCTGGAAGAAGTGAAAAGTCGCTACAGCATTCAGCTCAGCCAGCTGCAGATGACCATCACCTCGCTGGAGACGGAGCTGCAGCAGCTCAGAGTCTCGATAGAGCAGCAGCAGATCAGCTACAACCAGCTGCTGGACATCAAGATGAGGCTGGAACTGGAGATCGCTGAGTACAGGAGGCTGCTGGAAGGAGAGCAGATTGTTCAGAAGAAGTGAGAGATGAAGTGTTTTTTTTAAGTGGTAGGCCAACAGCTGGAGCACTGAAACATGTTTTAAAATAAATGTTCTCTGTCTCCACAGGTCTGTGGTCATCAGCAAGGTGGTAGAAAAAGTGGAAGGTAAGCATCTCAGTCCTCTGTGAGCTTGTGATCATTGAATTCTCCTCCTTGCACTGTGATGCCATTGAGTTTGTCCTCTGCAGAACACAAACCCCATGTTGAGAGACGAGTGAAGACCATCGTGGAGGAAATCATTGATGGAAAGGTGGTGTCCTCTGCCGTCGACACCCAAGTGGAGACTGTTCAGTAACACTTAGCTCAGTCCTGCTGCCACCGAGCTTCCACTGTTACATCGATTTGACCTAAATTGTCTTAAATCGATCGCTGTAATTCACTTAGTTGGGAAAAAGCATCTTTGTTTCTTGCCATTTTCTTTTATTTTCTTTTTAATTTTTTTCTGGAAATGCAAAGCAAAGTTGCAACAAGGCATGATGTTTTCATCTGATGAGTGTGAAACCAAAATATGAATAGAAGTCAGAAAACGAAGATTTAACATTTGGCATCATTTCATCACAAATCTGTTGCTAAAACCACTTTTTTTCCACAAGGGTTTTAAAAGGGTTAAAAGACAAGTCAGCTTCAAGTCACGTAAAGAAATGGATAAAAAACTCAAAGTGTTTATGTTGCATGGGCGTAAGGTGTGCATCTCCTGTATGTTTGCTCTGGTGAAAATCATGAGAATCTGCAAAAATAAATCAAGAAAAATCAAGCATTTATTTTAAGTGTGGTATTTACAGTGTGATTTACCTCTTGGCCACCAGATGTCACCTTTGACTTTCTTTCTCAAAAAGTGGAATCTTGGCTCCACTTCAGTGGTTTGTGTAACCATCTTTATCTCAAGTGGAAACACATTGTTGCTGCACGGGGGACCTTCAGAGCATGATTAGTTTAACTTACTCAGAGAACAATAAACAGTGACACTGTGCAAATAGTGTGGAGTCAGGGCACATTAATGATGCCATTTTTAAAACTGCAGATGCAGAAGTGTGCAGAAAGAAAAAACATTCCCCAGAGAATATAGAAGTCTATACATGTCTAAAAAATAAAAGTGGTTCACAGATGCCTCCTCAATGGTGGAAGAACTATTCAGATCCTTAACTTAAGTAAAAGTACCAACACAACAATGTAAAAATACTCCATTACAAGTAAAAGTCCTGCATGAAAAATCCTACTGAGGCAAAAGTACATAAAAATTAGTGAGTAAAAGTCCTGGTTTGGTCCCTCTGACTTATATATTGTTATATATGGCTTCTTTACATGACATTACACATTACAGCTGCTGCAGGTGAAGCCAGCTTGAACTACTTTATAGCCAGTTTACATACAGAGACAGCAGATAAATCGAAGAGGCAGTGAGATGATTACTGGAAAAAGAAGAAAAAACTAAATACTGATACATGAATCTGTCTTCAATTTTTGTACTTTTTCTTTAATCTTAGATTTTTGCTGAAATATTGGATTGTTTGAGCATGTATTGAAATTAAAATGTGCAAAATTTAGAAGGAAAAAAAAAACAATGAATATTTGATGGTGCAATTTATAGATACCAGAAATGTGGCTGTGACTACTGCACACCGTTTTATGCAAAAAAAAGAAAAAAAAGAAAACAAAACAAAACAAAAAAAATTGAAAACCACTGCTTAAATCTTTAACGATATGTTATATTAAAATGCTTATCAGTCTATCCAGTGTGTAAAAAAATGTATCTTAAAAGAACTTAAGCTGTCAGATGAATTTAGTGAAGTAGAAAATACAATATTTCTTTTAGAAATATACTGGAGTGGAAGTAAAAAGTAGCATAAAATGGGGAAAAAAAGAATTACAAGTACCTCAAACTCTTACTCAAGCACAGTAACTGAATAAATATATTTAATTTCTTTCCACTGCTGTCATTCCTGAGTCGCCAAATATTCTTGGTTTGGGTGGAGCTGATGCAAGTAGAGGCTTGACGTCTCCAAACATCCAAAACTCTCTAGTTAAATCAATCAACCTGCTGGTTAGAATGATTCAGCAGTTAATACTGTTCTTCCTTTCACAGCTTTAGTACTGCTTTTTTTTAAGCACATCAATGCTACTTTATAATCCGTGGTATTAAATGCAATTAACAGCTCTTTTGAACAGTGATTCATAGTGTTCCAGCTGTTTTGTGCAGCAAAGCAAAATCAAGTTTAGACAGCGAAGATGACATTAATTCACCTCGCTTTCCAGATCTCAGAATTTAGATTAATCTGCATGAAGAGACAAGAACAAAAAAAAGCATCATTGTTGTACCTTTGCAGCTCACGTATGTACAGAAAGTCACATTTCAAACTGAAACTGTAACCTTGCATTTGCTCTCCTGGTGTCAAAGTTGTCAGTCAGACAGGGTGGACAAATTCCCAGCTGGTGTGTGTTTTTGCTGTTGTGCTCTCTCTGTGGATGTTCGGTAAGCAGAAACAGAAGGCACAGTGGTTACTTTCACCTCATGTTTGGCTGCATTACATGAGGAAATGTAAATCTTTCTGCAGCTGAAAACAATCATCCTATTAATACCACAAAATACAAAATTAAGGGTTTAACTGGCTTCACATGGTTTTCAGCTCAGTTAATACTCAGTACATAAAAGCAACACAGAGACAATTAAGGTACTCATGAGTTATTTTTATTTCTTTTTGATATCAAAAACAGTAAATCTGTTTCTGTTTAGATTTGCATACAGTCTTTGCTGGAAATTTCCAGAGAATCAGAGCCTGTGCATGAACTGTTCCTGTCCGCAAAGGGTGTGGACGATAGCTGCAGGGCATTGCAAGACACAACAGAAACCAGTCTGGCCCTGAAACAGAATGGTTAGCATACACATAACAGCAGAATAGCATGATCAGAAAGCAGCTGCAGATTCTGCGGTGAGTCACGCTGTCGCTCATTTCCTCTCCTTGAGAAGAAGAAAAAGAGATGTTGTTTTGTGGTGGCTTGCACACACCCAGGTAGAAGCACCTCCGGCTATTTGTCAGGCCGCAGCACATAGCGTTCTTGTTTTCATCCCAAGCTGCGGTTATTTGTGTCAGCGAGGCACTTCGTACTCAGACTTGAATGGGCTTTTGGCATTCGGAGAGGTCGTTTTTTCATTTAGCTGAAAAGTGAATGGGGTCTGTGGCATAGTAAATCTGTCAGAAAGAGATGCTGACATGGTTTCTGGCGAAAGTCTGCAAGATGAACCACAACCTTTAACCTCCCAAATGCATGTAGACACAGAACACAGATCACTTAAGGCTTCAATTCATTTTAAATGTTATCTTCTGATAAACCAAATGCTCCTTTTAATGAACATGTACTGGAGTTAAAGACTACATGCTTTCTTCATACTCTGCTTCACGCATGACCAACACAGTCACACCTTATGTACCATTCCAAATACCATCAACATTAATCACTCAATCAATCACCTGTTAGCACAATACTGTCTTTATTGTCAAAGTGAGAGAATGTGTGAAGTATCTGTCAACCTATAAGGGAGTGTGAAGCCCAGGGAGCAGTGTTTAAACAGCACATAAGGAGTGTTGTACAAGAAAACCTGAAATTAAATCTAAAGCTGGTCAATGGGAACATTTGCAATGTTACTAACTTGTATCTGCAAGTTTGTAGATGCTTTCCTTCAGTTACAGCTCCCTGTTTCACAACCACAGCTGCCTCAACTAGACTTTTATATGATTTTTCTGCGTACATTTTCAAAGGAGTTTATGTCATTTATTATGCATGCATACACACTCATTTGAAAAGTACATCTCATGGACACTATTGGCTTTTTCCCCTCATATTTAGACAAGCAAACATTTTATTCTCTTGGAAATAGCGCTGACAGATGAAATACTTAGTTGAATCATTTTCTGCAAGTTGCTACACGAGGCAGTGCAGCAACCTCAAACGTCTCCGATATCGTGCATCACAGCTGGTTTGAGGTTCTTTTACCAAAAAGCAAACATGTCTTCTGTTTCTGTGGCCGAACAATTCCATCTTCGATTCATCTGTCAAGAGCACATTAATCCCACAAGACCTGCACTTTGCCTGCATGTTTAATAACAAGCTGTCACTTTCTGTTTGGACTTTGAACACTTGTCATGCAGGTCAACTTCATGCAATCACTTTCTGCACCACTGTGATACCAACATTTACCTGCAGATCCTATGATAAAATTTTGGGGCTCTTGGAGATGACTTCTCTTCTTTTTTGCAACAAAAAGTCAGAATTTTCTTGGGCGATCAGCCCCCTACAATCTTCAGTTATTTGAAATAGATGAAAAATGATTTTTTGCAAATGATTTTTGAGATCTTTTAAAATTCCTTGCCAGAGACCCACAGGAATCCATGTAAATAAACAACACACTTCAGAGAACAGAAGAGGCTAAATGTCAGAAGTTCAAAAATAAAACAGATTCCATCTGTCGCTCCTTTCAGGAGCTTAGTGTTGGCACCTCACCTGGAGGTAATGGATTTGAAGGTCAGATAAATATACTTACCTGTACTATGTGTCTGATCTGTCATTTTCTTATCAGCTTTATTTGTCATGAATTTGAGTGCATCACTTTTATTAACAAGACCTTTAAGCTCCAGTTAAAAGCAACTTGACTTCTCTTTTAGGCTCTTGAAGATATTTCATTCCTCATCCAAGTGGCTTCTTTAGTTCAGGTGAAAAGAATGTCCCATTGCTTTTTCCTGAAGCTCCTAGGACAAACACAATCTAGACAAATCTGCTTAGACAGATCTAAATTATAAGCTTTTATGCAAAGAACATTTAACAAATACGCAAGGAAAGCTAATGTCTTACTTTTTTACATGAGCAGAAACAGATAAAACACATTGAATATATATTTAAAGTGATGAAAAAAAAATTTTATTCTGGGATTTGGTTTAATCCCAGAATTATGGTTTAAAAGCCACATTAAAAGCCACATTATCATCAAATGTGGCTTTTTAACATAACTTGTGAAAAGAATGAACATTAAGCCCATCAGTTAATGTCAGAATTTTAAGGACTTGTGCAGAATATATCAGAAATAATCGGTCCTGACCTGCAGGACCCTGTAGTAGGAAATTTAAATGACTGCTTTATTACCATTAAAAAAAAAAAAAAAAAAAGAATTTTTATTTATTTATGTTTTTAAAAAAATTATTATCAGTTTTACTTTTAACAAAGCACAAACTTTTTCACATTCGTTCCACAGATCTATTTATGACAGAACTGCTGCAGATAACCTGCTAACACTGGATGAAATACAACAAGGCAACAGCTTTAGCAGCTCTGTAAGGCTTTACTCAGATGCAGTGACAATGGAGGAATTAAGAAATCTGCCATTAGGAGCTAAACTATGATATGTGTAGTGGTGATTAAGCTGGAAATGGCAACATTTTTGTGGCTATTTCTAGTCTTACACAAAGTATTGGATTAATAGGAATTTTGACCTGATGATGGCATTCGATGAAAATCCATCAGTTCTGATTCATCACCAGGAAACATGAATGCAATGTATTTTGTCCCCTCCAGTCACTGGATAAATGAAGTTTACAGTTAGCATGCCCTAATGCAAACATGATAAATGCAACAAATGAAATAATTTTACACAACAACAATAAAATGACAATGATTTCACTGCTGTTGTGTTACACGTTTCATTTGATAGATTTAGTATGTTAGCATATTCGAGTGGATGCACCTTGCTAACATGCTCACAAAGGGTTTGTTTATAATTGAGAAGCACACGACATCGTAGACAGGTGGATGAAGAAACTATCAGATGGGGAATGAACTCAATCAGAGAAAGACGTCTTCGCCAAAGCATTCAACTCCACAGCAGTCACCAGTCATGGACCTCATCACAACCGCAGAATCAGGCATAGCAACAAAAATCTAACAGAAGCAGAGCAACACAGGTTTGAAGTTTCAGCAACAGTGCGTAAATATCTTTTTCTAGCCTAACATCCCAAGAAAGGAACGCAGTAACATCACCAAGCAAGAGCAAGAATCCTTTCCTTCTCACCAACAAAGGAAGGTGCACAGTGATACTCAACACAATCAACTACTGCACTTAAATAAAAACACTACACAGTCTATACAAAGACATGATTTATAACGTTTTAATATGTTTAAAGATGTTGCAAGAAAGTTTTAATATCTTTCTGTTTCGCCTGCTAACAGAAATGATTGTGTGTTTCATGACTGTTAACACACCAGCCAGCGTCAGTCTGTGATACTATTCAACAGCATGAATTTGAGAAGCAAAATTAAGTTTGGAACTCAGCGTCAGCTCCAGCCAGAGTCCCATTCTGGAACTTTGCAACTTTTTGTTGATCTGCAGATTAGTGTGACTGACAGACAGACAGACAGACAGACAGACAGACAGACAGACAGACAGAACCACCACTGAAGCAGCCGTTGCCGTGCTGCCAGAGGAAAAATAGTTCACTGATGCTCTACATCATATTTGACAACAGCCAATTACTAATACAAAGCCTTCTTTCATAGCATTTGCTGAATGTCTTTATATTCTCAAAATTGCACCTTTTATATTAGGTGAATTGTGAATTTGTAAACTATGTGGTGTGTTTAGTATTTAACATTTAACATACCAGCTAGTTTCACAACTACAATCAGAGTATCACAAACAGGTGAGTGTTACAAAGTCTCATTTAACACACTTTAGCCTGTTTTTCAGTGTTATGACTTCTGAAATCTATCACACCTTAACATATCTTTGATATCTGTTTTTCAAATTGTGACTCTGACATATGGTAAACTTTACATAAACTAACTCAGCCGGTCTCTTTTTGCACTGTATTGTTTGCACACACATTTATACAAACAAGTTGGTTCTGCTGGTAGTGCAACAGATCCGTACTAAAACAGCAAGGCTGGGGGTGGGGGATGGATCAGGCTGTGCAGAACTACATGGTGCAGTCTGTGTATGCAGGGGTTTGGTGTGCTGGTGTGAAATGCTGTCTCTAGAGAGACAAAAACCGCCTCACTCATATATAAGTGCAAACTAATCACTGTCTTAGACATAATTTATTGCTGTTTAACACATGCACGGGAGGCATTTGCAACCTCAAAATGATAAGCAGCAGTGAAAAGACACATCTGGTTTGTATTTCTTATTTGTGCACAGTCTGCAATAGTTATTTGTTACTTAGAGGTAAAGAAAAACTCTTTGTTACAGTTTTAAAATCATTTCTACATCCTTGATGTGAGACAGTTGAGCAAAATCCTCAGGGGCATTATAAAAGAAATACCATGGCGACATGGAAAGAAGTGAACAAGCAAGAGCTTGTTCTTTTTGGGCATGGTGCACATGCCATAGCACAATGCCAAATCAAAGTAGAAAAGCAAATAATGTGCAGGAGCATCTGTGCTGAGCTTTCCAGCAGTGTGCTGTGCCCAGTCTTGAATAATGCCAGGTCTCGCTGACATCACGTAGGTCTATAAAAACTGCCTGTAACTGGCAAACCCCTGCAGGCTACTGCAGAGCACAAAACAGAATTAAGTTTTTAATGTGAACATACCTACACAAAAGAACCAGTGCATGAAAGATGTTTTTTATGGAAGGTAACATAGACAAGAAAGACAAAGGTGTGTGATAATAAGCTTACTGGCTGTGCGTCAAGTAAAATAAACTTGATACAGATCAATTTCACAGTGTTTACAGTGCTTATTGCCTTGGTAACAAAACAAGTGTGACTGGTATGGACTGGCTGTCCTCCTAAAGAATAAAGGTACACATCTAAAACCTGTGCAATCGGCTGAAGAACTAAGTTGAGGCAAACAGTGATGGGTGTGGCTGTTTCATAACTTGTAGTATATGTTGAGGAAACAAAAGCTCAAGGCCCACGAGGATGGCCTGATGCACTATGATACTTAACCTTGGAAGAAAAGATGAATATCATGATGTAACAAACATGTTTCCGCATCTGTATGACGTTTGCAGCTAGTTGGAAAGTTTAAATCAATTCAGAAAATTGCTTTTTAAAGTAGAATACAGCTTAATCTGACTTCTTTTGATGATTGCACAAAAGAGTTTGAAAGATGTGTGTGATGGGTGGGGCTGGGCACCCATTTTAGGTAATGCTCCTCCCTTCAGGCCTCCACCCACACAGCACACTCATGCACGATAAAAAGGAGGCAGAAGCAGAGCTGTGCATCTCAGCCCTCTCCTTCTTTTCAGAGCAGGCAGACCTCCTGAGCAGGCTTCACAGCAACCACCATGACATCAGTCACCACGTCTTACACCAGGCGCTCTGCCGGGGGTGTAGCCCCGGTCCGAAGGATGTATGCTGCCAGTATGTATGCTGGTTCAGCTGGAAGTGGATCGAAAATCTCGACGGCTTATGGTGGTGCAGGAGGCTCAGCTGGTGGCTACGGTGGTGGCTACGGTGGTGGCTACGCTGGAGGCTTCGGTGGAGGCTATGGTGGTGGCTTCGGAGGTGGCGCAGGTGGAGGCTTCGGAGGTGGCGCAGGTGGAGGCTTTGGCGGTGGTTGCATTGACCTCAACGTTGGGACCAACGAGAAGGCCACCATGCAGAACCTGAATGACCGTCTGGCCTCCTACCTGGAGAAGGTGCGCAGCCTTGAGAAGGCCAATGCTGAGCTGGAGCTCAAGATTCGGCAGTTCTTGGAGAGCAAGACCTCACCTTCTGCACGTGACTACTCCGCTTACTTCGCCACCATTGCTGACCTGCAGGAAAAGGTATATCACACAAGAGTATTTACCATGCAATGTATGCATGCATACTTAAAAAGTTGCATTGGAACTTGAATCATGTGCATGTAAAATTTTCTGTCTTTTTGTAGTTGGAGACCATTTGATGAAAACATTGCTGTATTTATGCAATAAGAAATTTTTCTCCATCACACAGATCCAGAAAGCCATTTCTACCAATGGAGGCATCTACCTGGCCCAAGACAATGCAAAGCTTGCAGCAGACGACTTCAGAACCAAGTAAGTGTCAGGAGGAATGATAACTTGTAGAACTAAGCAAAATATGAAAGATGTGTACAGTGATGTAAGATGATGCAAATGTCTCAAATGATCTCTTGCTGCCTCACAGGTATGAGAATGAGCTTGCCATGCGTCAATCAGTGGAGGCAGACATTGCGGACCTAAAGAGACTGCTGGATCAGCTCACGCTTGCCAGATCAGACCTAGAGATGCAGATAGAAGGCCTCAAAGAAGAGCTGATCTTCCTCAAGAAGAACCACGAGGAGGTGGGCAGCAAACACTAAACAGACGTCAGAGCAAATTTGCATTGTAATTATTTTCCTGTCTTGAATGTAGAACAACTCAGCAGAGTGTAAATCTCCTCAAACTACTTATTCAATAGGAAATGGCAGCTATGAGGAGCCAGATGACTGGACAGATCAATGTGGAGGTTGACGCAAAACCACAAGCAGACCTGAATGCCGTTTTGGCTGAAATTCGTGAACAGTACGAGGCTGTGGCCGTCAAGAACCAGAAAGAACTTCAAAACTGGTTTGATGACAAGGTAAGACTTGTTGAGTTTGTGATTTTACTTTGTCTGCATAGGCTGTTGTTTGAAGGTATGCACTGACAAATGACATTTTCTCTCGTCTCCTGCAGTCAACCACGCTGACCAAAGAGGTCGCAGAAAGCACAGAAAGTCTACAAACATCCAAATCAGAAATCACCGAGATCCGTCGCACGTTGCAGGGCCTGGAGATTGAGCTACAATCACAACTCAGCATGGTAAATGCCAATGATTTATCTTTACTCCTATTTACCGTTGCATCATTTTACCATCCCGCCTTCAGTTTATTCATTCGTTCTCTTCTGTGTCCCCCTCAGAAAGCAGCTCTGGAAGGCACATTAGCTGATACAGAAACACGATATGCTATGCAGCTACAAGGCCTCCAGATGCAGGTGACCAGCCTGGAGGAACAGCTGATGCAGCTGCGTGCCGACATGGAACGCCAGGGCCAAGAGTACAAGATGCTGCTGGACATCAAGACACGGCTGGAGATGGAGATCGCAGAATACAGGAGGCTACTGGATGGGGAGGGCAGGTAAGGAAACACAAACGAAGAAAGAATAGTATATAAACTATCTCTGTAAACTGAAGCCTTAGAAAGATTTTAATGCAAACACTGCACTTCTGTCTGCCCCCACAGCATTGGCGGTTTAGATACCTCCAGCTCCAGCACCAGCACCAGAAAGGTTATCGTGGTCACGGAGGAGATGAAAGACGGCGTGGTGATGTCCTCCTCATCCTCCATCGCATCATAAACTGTCACAGGGTGCAAATGCAACATACAGAGGCCACAAACTCACTATCTTAACAACAGAAAATTGCTTCAAACACAAGTGTGACTGCAATAAAAGCCTCTCTGTTTGCTGACTACCATGTTGTCCTGTTTGTCTTTTTAATTCCAAATCATTCTGCACTATTTTTCATGAACCATTAAGGTCTTTCTTTAGGCTTCTGTCAAATTTCAGACATCATTATTCTGACAGATATGAATATAAAGCCTACCTAGAATTGCATCACAATATGTGCTGGATGAAACTGGCTAAAGGAACTGAGGAAGTGAATATGAGCAATAATGTTCTCTCCTTTTCTCAAGAATTTCCACTAAAATACTAGTGAGCTCTGGATTTGGGCCACATAAAATTTGGCAATACAGTACTACAGCTCTAAAGCTGTTCAAAAGCAGCATTCAGGCTCATTTTTAAAGTTATTTTGTTGGTCTTTGTGCCTTTATTTGATAGTGCAGTGAGATAGAGACAGGAAAGTGGGGGAGAAGAATGGGGGGAGGGCCATGAGCAGGATTCGAACTCATGACCTCCATATTGGGACTGTACCCCTACACATAGGACACTTGCTCAACCAGGTGAGCTATAGTGGCACCCTCTCAGCAGAATTTTTAAACAGTAAATAAAACTTTGGAAACATTTAAAAACACCCTTGAAAGTTAGTTACATCAAGTGTTGCAACATTAGCCTATGTTTTACATTTGTGAGATTCAGATATGGAAAATTAAACATTAAAACCTTTTTGCTATATATCATTGGCTGTATTGACAACTGTTAATAAGTGAATCACATGATAATGAGGAAATCTTTAAATTCTGACCCGACTCAGCCCCACTGGGAGTCTGATGTGGGCAATGTAGCATTCAGTCTCGCATCGTCTGTCAATCCACCTAATCCCTCAGTGTCATGCTCGGCTTACCATCTAATTTGAGTTCTCATTCATTATTTCTTTGTTTAGTTTTGCCATATGCCTCCAACATGCTGTTCTAAACCTTTGTTTTTTTGTTTTTTTTACGTTCATGGGTATTCAGGTTTTTTCAGCTGTAATATGATGCTTGCTGGTAATAGCATCCATAGACACACTGCTAAATCCTCAACATGTTTTTGGACCTTGTGGGAGAAACCGGAGAAAACCCACGCTGCACGGGGAGAACATACAAACTCCACGCAGAAGGATCCCAGTGTCCCCACCGGTTCTTCTGCGTGGAGTTTGCGAACTGGCAACCTTCTTGCTACGAGGCAACGATGCTAACCACCAAGCCACATTGCAACCCCACTTGTACTCATTTATAAAAATGTTCTCGCCCCTAATACACACTTTTGGACACTGTTGTTGCTCATAAAACAAAAAAAAAACTGCATCAACCTTTGTTTGGCCACTCGTGGGCAAAACATCTACATATCTGAGGAATGGTGCCTTCATGGGTTCCAGAAAAAAACAGTTAAAATCTTGATGGTTTTAAAAGCTGTAGATATAAGAAAGCACTATAAATCCGCTCTTTTATAATTACAGTTCATGGGGAAAATGACCTCTCTCCTCAGACCCACCTCATGCAACTGTTAACACTTCCTGCTTGTTGGAGAATGTGCACTGTAAAATATATTACAAATATTAAACTACAGACAAGAAAAGGAGCAGTTGTGCCCTTGACTTTGAAAATTTGGCCTTGTAGTTAGAATATGAGTGAAGATTCAGCAATTGGACTGATTATTTTGGACCTGAAATTTGTTTAGAAACAGATTTTGGTCTATTATTAAGGAGAAATCAGTGACATAGCCTGTGTCATAGAACTGAACTCTACTCATTTTGCTCAAACCCCAGATCCAGAAACTGTTCTTCATTTGGATAAGTAAATGTGAATCTTTCTGAATTAAGAAATGCTACCACAATTATTGGAGGAAACACCATATAAATGTGCCAGTAGGAAGCCGGTCAGGGTTTATCTGAGCTGCTAAAAAGTTAACTTCTGCAACTCCACTTTATTTTCTGTCTAGAGTCATGAACATAATATTTAAAATCCATTGTATTCCTGGGGCGACCCTAGTGAGGATTAAGCGGTGTATAGATAATGGATGGATGGATGTATTCCAGGGCTGCAAGATGGAGCAGTAGTTAGCACTGTGGCCTCACAGCAAGAAGGTCGCTGGTTCACATCCCGGTGGGGGCAACGGGATCTCTCTGCGTGGAGTTTGCATGTTCTCCCCGTGCAGCGTGGGTTCTCTCCGGGTTCTCCGGCTTTCTCCCACACAGTCCAAAAGCATGTTGAGGTTAATTGGTGATTCTAAATTGTCGTAAGGTGTGAATGTGAGTGTGCTTGCTTGTCTGTCTCTAAGTGTGGCCCTGTGATAGACTGGCGACCTGTCCAGGGTGTCCCCTGCCTTTGCCCTAAGTCAGCTGGGATAAGCTCCAGGCCCCCTGCGATCCTAGTGAGGATGAAGCGGTGTATAGATGAGATGATGGCAATGTATTCCATCACAATTTTTGCCCATGAGACAGAGAGACTTAATATTAAAGTTTTTAGATCAAGTGTGTCTTATTTAGAGACCATCAACTGTTTAAATTTAGAAAGTTTCTTGGTTAGAAATTTACCAAAAGAACCAAAGGGGTAAGGGGTAAATCAATCTTTTAGCTCTATCCAAACCAGCATTTTCTCTGTATCAGCTCTTTGTAGCTTGTTTGCTATAATACAGTCTTAATAGTAAGAGCAGTGAGACTGAACCCCAAAGTAAATATGCCATATAAAAAGGCTTAAAATACAAAATATTTCTCAGTGTGTTTGTACCTGCAACATTTTTGTCACATGTATGTGAATATGAAAAAAAAACTAGTAAATGTGACTACATTTTCCCTTATACAGTATTTGTACTGTAGAGAAAAAAATGTGATTTTTGAAGAGTGAGTGACAATAATGGTGAAACGGGAAATATTCTGTTCATCTTAGAATCACAAACAGACCACACAAGTGACTTCAATTGGACTGCATAATCTTTATTGGCTTTTGCTTTCAATTTTTCACTCAACTTCATCCACATCCACGTCGACAGTCTTGCTGCTCTGGATCACCTTTCCATCCACAACTGTCTCCACCACTGTGATTACCTTTGTGACCACTGAGGAAAAGAAAAGAAACAACAATCACGACATCTCCTCAAACTAAAGCAATGTTTTCATTGATAAAATAAGAATATAGTAGATATGTGAAACCTTGCTTACCTTGTTTTGAGCTTGTAGCGGAGGAAAAAAAAAAAGAAGAAATCATTAGTCTCGATCACTTGAAAGCACATTTTTTTCCCTCTGCAGTTGCTGACTCAATATTTCCTCATCATCTTTTCCAACTTTTCTCCCGTCAGTGTTTCTCTCACCTCTCATCCTCCCCATCCAGTAGCCTCCTGTACTCTGCGATCTCCAGCTCCAGCCGGGTCTTGAGGTCCAGCAGCATGTCATACTCCTGCTTGTTGCTGGTGATGTTGGTGTGGAGCTGCGACAGCTGAGCCTCCAGGCTTGTGACCATGTTTTGGAGGTTTGCGAGCTGTGCGGCATAGCGGGCCTGAGTCTCTGCCAGGGTTCCCTCCAGAGATACTTTCTGTGATTAGACATTAGAAATTCAGAGGTTGATGCAGGTTAAACAGTGTGCATAGAAAAACCTATCAAAAGGTCTGTTATTATGACTGAGCAACGACAATGTGAGCAATACTTTTATTTGCTTTCCTGCCAAAAGCAAGATAGCTAAAATTCGCATGTCTATGCTAAACACAAAGCGACAACAGATGGCAGCAAGTTAGCTTGGCTTAGCAATAAAAACCGAAAATAACTAGCCTGCACCAGATATATGGTAATAAAATCCACCTCCAGGCACTTTTAAAGTTACCAAATTCACACATTGTTCGGTGCACTTAAACCTAATCCCCGTAACGTTGCAACATTTTATGGCATTTGGAGGTCTTATGCACCAAACTATTTCTTTTGCAGCCACCATGTGGTGCCTCTAGTCTTCATTCCAACTGCTTCTAACAGCTTCCCAGATCTGGCGGTCATATCACTCTCCTTACTCTTGGAAGCTATTTCAATAAACCTGCAGCTTGTTATTAGTCTTGAAACTGTAGCACAACGATGTTATTTCTAGTAGATATTCATTAAGATTACAATTTGCTGCCTTACCATGCTCAGGTGGGACTGCAGTTCAATCTGAAGCCTCTGGAGGGTGCTCTTCAGGTCTTTTATCTCTGACCGGGACGTCACTAGAATCTCTGTGTGTGTGAGCACATCCTGCTCCACTGCTGCGATCTGAGCAGAAACACAACATGTTAAAGCTGCCGTTCAATCTTTAACAGGCACTTGAGTGGTTGCAGCTTCACCTCTCACCTTGTTCTGGTACCACGACTCGAGCTCCTTGCGGTTCTTGGAGATCACAGTCTCATAGTGATCCCTGATCTCTGTCATGACCTGGTTCAGGTCCGTAGAGGGGCCGGCGTCCACGGCCACGTTCACCTGACCGCCAATCTGGCTCCTCAGCAGAGCCATCTCCTGCAGGGGTCAAGAGGCACAACTTCATCATCATCGTAGTAAAATAAAATGATTGTGTTGTGGGTCATTTGATTTGTGTGTGTGTGTGTGTGTGTGTGTGCGTGTGTGTGTGTGTGTGTGGGTGGGTGTGGTGGGTGGAGGTGTTGGGCAGCTATGAGCTAATGGAGCGAGAGAAGAATACATGGAAGTGTGCAGAGAGAGGAAGGTCAGCACGGGGAAAACGAGAAGACGGCTGAGCTGTTTATTTGCTCAGTGTTATCACTGTTAGGCTGAGGTCACGTGTTTGAAATCTGACCAGCTTAGGCCATGACAGATGGCAAGTAGTGATAACTTTGTCTGACAGTTGTTGCTGGCATGTGTGCAGGAATGTATTAAATGTAAACTAATTAATTTTGCTGCTTGTAAAACTGTCATCAGCAAACATTAGACTGATTCAAACTGGTGCACCGCCACTCGCTCTGCATCACCTTCTACACTCTCACCTCTTCGTGGTTCCTCTTGAGCATGAGAAGCTCATCCTTCAGGGACTCGTACTGACTCTCCAGGTCCATCCTGGCCAGGTTGATCTCATCCAAGACCCTCCTCAGTCCGGCGATGTCGGCCTCCACAGCCAGCCTCATAGCCAGCTCGTTTTCGTACCTGAAGGTGCATCAGGTCAGGCAAGGTTTGGTGAGTCGTTGTAGATAGATAGATAGATAGATAGATAGATAGATAGATAGATAGATAGATAGATAGATAGATAGATAGATAGACTTTATTGTCTGTCCCAAATAGTGACAGAAATTCTCTTTTGACAAGGCTCCAATAATAAAAATACAACACATATAATAACACACTTAAGCCACAAGCTCACAAAGCACAGATGTCTAAAAGAATTGTTAAAAAGAAATAGCAGCCGATAAAATGTACTGTTCAGTGTCTTATTTCATTTTGTTCAGGGTGGTTATTGCAGATCAGAAACTGTCACTGAGACACGAGTTCACGCTTTGATGTAAAGAAAGGAAGGGACACACACACTCAGAGCACACTCACTTCACTTTGAAATCATCAGCAGCCAGTTTTGCATTGTCAATGTCCAGGACTGTCTTGGCGTTGAGCCTGGAGGCGATACGGATCTGAGAAGGCAAAAAAAGTCATGGTTCATATAAGAGTAATACATATATACTTTCATTATAGACTCATAAAACTCATTTTTGTTTGGAAACATTTGTTTAACTTGAATGTTAATGTTAACATAGTGAACAAACAAAAACAAAATCAACATTTAAAACTAACAGCAAAAAAAACTATACATGCAGCCTGTACAAAACTGTAAAATGTAGTTTAACTGATATATCAGTCGAGCTCTATTATACACCTGCACTGCAACCTTGCGTAATTATCAGTGTGACACTGATTGCTATCAGAAGCTGGAATGAATCTGGTAGAACAGTTGTGAAAAACACATCTGCACTTCCTCCATGGCCTATGTTGAAACTTTGACAATGATGGGTTTACGGGCTCTCCAACTCAAACTTATGTGTGTCCCCACATACAGCACATACCAACAGATGTTTTCTCTCCCCCACACACTGACAGTGAAACACCAGAAAGCTGAGAGAGGAAAACAACAGAAAAAACACTGAGACACACCCATCTCTGACCCCTTCCTCTTACCTTGTCCTTTAGATCTTCGATGGTGACAAAGTAGCTGGTGTAATCATGGGAGATCACGGTTCTGCTCTGGTACCAGTCTCTGATCTGCTTGTCCAGGCGGTCGTTCTCCTTCTCCAGTGTGCGAACCTTCTCCAGGTAGGAGGCCAGACGGTCATTCAGGTTCTGCATGGTGGCCTTCTCGTTGGCCCCAACGTGGAGGTCCAGACCGTCGGCCAGGTTGAAGCCTCCAGGAGTCGGTGCGTAGCTCATCTGGGATGTGGAGATCCGGGTACCGCGACCTCCTGCTCCACCATAGACACTCATGGTCTTCTGGCCGTAGGATCTGGTGTTGAACGACATGTTGGAGGGTTTGGATCTGAACCAGGTAGGATCACCGGAGTTGGTCTGCAGTTGCGAGCATCACTTTGGTCTCCTTGGTTATATAGCCGCCACACAGAGCCAGGTGGGAGGGGTTTGGCGCGTTAGATGAAAGGGAGGAATGCGGCTGACAGTTCACCCCCCTACCCCTCTACACAATCTCTCCATCACTGTGGGTGTGGGTAGGGGTTCCTCCACCTCTTTTCAGGTCAAACTTGTGATTCCACATTTTATTGTTTCTCGGCACAGGGGCGTTCATTCCTTGAATACTCACAAACCTTAAGCTGTTTGATTGCTTGTTTGGTTGCCTGAAAACAAGTTTAAAGACACAAACAAGGAGTTTTAAATCATGTGTTCCTGTGTAAAGCTATTTTGTAAAATATTCACTGTAATTGCCTAACAGCTCACAGCAGTGATAGAAATGACACATACCAGTGACAGTTTCACCTCAGTGAAACCTAAAGGCCGAGGGCAAGGCAGCTAAAGATATTTTCGTCACACGAGCTTCAAGGCAATACGTTAAAGATTGTGTAAAATAAGGTTTTTACATCACAGTTATAGTGATTAATAAATAAATGTCCCATGTGTTCAAAGGGGGCTGCAAGATGGCTCGGTGGTTAGCACCGTCGCAGCTGGAAGATCACCAGTTCGCGTCCCAGTGAGGACTGCATGCAGTCTGCAGCGTGGGTTCTCTCCGGGTTGTCCGACTTCCTCCCACACAGTCCAAAAAATACATCTTGAGGTTAATTGGTGATTCTAAATTGTCTGTAGGTGTGAATGTGAGTGTGCTTGGTTGTCTGTCTCTAAGTGTAGCCCTGTGATAGACTGACGACCTGTCCAGGGTGTCCCCTGCCTTCGCCCTAAGTCAGCTAGGATAGGCTCCAGCTACACGTATTATACTTTAACAGTAGCACATTTATCAGTACTTCAATCCATTTATTTTAATTTATTAATACAAAAACACAACCCTATTTGTAAACCCCAAGAAGAACTACATATTTCATGGCGAGTCCAATCACGTTTTATTGTAATGCTACTAGAAGTTGTAGTTCTTTCTTCTAAATAGACGTTTCTCCTAAATGGAGGGTGAAATATTAAACTTTAAATCCATTTAGGGGTTTAAATTGATGAGAACTATGTTTATTTGGACTGCCTTTACAAAAGAAGAAACATGGTAGCTGCTCAGTGCCGGTGTTTACAGAATGTTAACGTTGGTCAGTGTGGGCGCACACATCTGTAGAGTGATCTCTATAGTTATTAGTGTGGACGGGCCATAACAGGAAAACTGGTTAATGCCTGTCGGAAGAAAAGAACAACAAAAACATCCCAGTAAATGCGCTGTCTGATGGGGGAAAAACGTGTCCCAGACACGAAACATAAATCCAATTGAAATGTAGTGGTTTGAAATTTGTGCTCGGGAACACGAAAAAGTTGGGCAAATAATAGATTCAATTTCGTGACTATCTTATGAATTGCCGTGAGATGGAGTTGGTTTGCATATGTTAGCAATAAGCAGTAAGTACATTTGTTTGCTAATATTAGCATTTAGCACAAAGCACTGCAAAAACACTCACTTGACTTTGTCTACAAAATTATATATTGTATCCTCATCAAGTCTCACAAGCCTAAATTATTTTAAGGGCCAGTTTCTAGTCTGTGTTTTGTGGTGTGATTCTACAGTAGTCCCACATTGATTTGATGTCTTTTTTATTAACTACTGCATAATTATTTGATTCTTGTGTCGCACCAAATATATTTAATTAAAACAAGAGAAAATTTAGTTTCTTTTATATCATTCTGAAACTTTGATTCCATTCCAAAACAAATCTGACAAGTGAGTGATAACCCAAATCTTTCTAACAGGCTTTCATTAAAATATTTGTAACATTAGTCTGAGTAAACACTATTGCACTGGTTAAAAATGTGCTAACTGGTTCTGTCGGTTTATAATTATCATTGTGGAGTCCTCATAAGACAGACACATCCTCATGCCAGTGAAAAACGGATCTCTAGGTTGTTTTTGTCCTCCGTCTATCTCTTTGAACAACAATCAGGCTGCCATAGACACCGTCCTCTGTCATCATCTCACAACTTCTTCATTCAGTGGCCATGTTGATAAGCAGGGTGGGCCTGAAACTGGGATGAGTGATGGTTTGATTTGCATCTGAAGAATGCCTGTCAGTCTGTATCTTTAAACATAGGGAGGAAACTACATAGTAGGCACATGGCACAAATTGATGTGACAAATAAGATGATTTACGGCTGATGATGCCTATTTGAGGCACTTCATTGATTTAACAAGTTTTAGACTGTGTTGTTTTAATTAAGGGCTAAAAAAAAGAGTTTTAGTGACAAAAAAAACAAGACGTTGCGGGTTGCTTTTGTCCACAGAAAACATTTGGCAGAAGAGATCACATTAAGGATGAGATTAGATCTATTACTTAAACCTGGTTTCCCTGCTTTGACATGTCAAAATGTCTGCTGTGAAAAAGATTTGTAGCAATTATCTTGTAATAGCCGCTATGTATCGCCTGAGGTCAATGTTACTCCTTTTATTCTTCTAGATGATTTCTAATACTGATGGCTGAACCAGCATTTCATTAATCTTTCTGTGCATTACTTTAATTCTGGTAATTTTGACTTTTTTGCAACTTCAACCTCTTTTTCCCCCAAAGCCTTGTGGGTCTCCCAGCCCTGCAGCGATGGAGCGATCTGATGGCCATTACTGGCTTGTTTTACCTTTTAAATATTTTTCACAGGCCTTTGTAGAAAAGATCTTTTGTTTTTCTCAAACTCTCGGGGTAAAAATGTTGCTCTGCCTGTTTTTTTTTTTTTTTTACACCGACGCCCTTTAGTGTCACGGCTGCTCTTATCCTTGTGATAAGTGACGCTGAAGGGAGGTTTGCACATGACAGAAGTGTGTCAAGTGTAGTAATTACCACACACCATTATTTGCTCATGCGAGACCTGTGTAATGTTTTATGTAAGGATATTTCATGAAACTAACTGTAATTTCTGTGTTGCACTGCAAAGAAAACTCAGCTAAACTTGCTTTGAGAGTGAATTAAATCAGATGAAATTATGGAAGGTCAGACTCCAAAATACACTGATGTTCAAAGAAAGTGCGTCTCCCCCTAAAAATTGTAATTGTTGTTTGAATAATCTAAATATATGGCAATATTTCTTACAGTTTGCATAAGATAAGACTGACACACATAGATGATGATGTAACATTGCATCAGCAGTTCATTTCGGCCATATAATCACACTGTAATAGCAGTCATTCCTTCCTTGTGTCAGGATGGTGCCTGGTGAACTTTAATTTAGATTTTTAATTTAAAATGATAAACTGAAGCAACTTAAGGCCTCTGATAACAACATAAACATCATCATGGTTGCTAAAACTGATGTATAAAGATTGCAAATACTCATTTTGGAGTATTTTGAGATCCTCTGACTAAACTA